CTATATGGTGAAAAATAAAAATATGAATGTTATTATAAAAAAACCTAGTTAAAAGATGTAGTAGAAAAATAATGATAAATTATAGAAAGGTAATAAAAAGTTTAATCTTAATGTTATTTTTTATAGAAGAAACTTTTATTTACTTTTTAGAGGTATAAATAAGCCAAATCAAAGTAAATAAAATATAAAATTAATAGAGACATATTTAAAAGAGAATTAACAATAGGTTAAAGTAAAATTTATCTCATATTATTAAAAATTATTATCCAAAAAGGATCGGTTGTCAACTTGGATTGAAATCAAATTCCGAGGTACAATATTGCGTACCTAAAATGACTCTAGGATTCTTTAGCAAATTGAAGAGTATAATTAAGAGGCAAACTTAAGAAGAAAGTTTTGAGAGTTTTTTTTATGTCATTTGGATGAATATTGAAGTTTTGAGGGATTTTCAAAATTAATAATATACCCAATGGATTTAGATTTTGAGAAATAAAAATATATTTATAAATTTGAAAATTTCTTAAATTTCATAGCATATGTACAAGTAAAAATTAGATAATTTATTTTTTTGCTTGTTTTAAATATGTATAAAAAATTTGAAGTCAATCATGCAATTAGATTAAAGCATATAAGGATTTTTGTGGATTATGGTCTCAAAAATTTGATATTTTGGATCAAATCTACAATCTAGCAATATTGATAGTTGAATTGAAGCAAAATTTGGTGAGAGCAATTAAGACTTAAATATCTACATATAATCCAATTTTTAGAGAAATTGAATGATTTAGTAAAGAGAAACTGGTGTTGAAAGATCAAAATTCAAGTCGAAGAAGAAAGGTGGCCAACAATCAAGAGGTTTTGGAAGCTTTGCTTGCTATTAGTACGTACAATCTTCTTCAATTTTTTTATACTTGTTTCTTATTTAATTTTTGCAAGGTATGCAAATTTTGAGTCAAAATCAATGGTTCAATTATTAGTTATTAAATTTTTAATCTATTATAGGATTGTTAAGATATATTTAAGATTTAAGGATTGATTAAAGATTAATTAGAATTGATTTAGGATTTAAGATTTGATTAAGATTTTGTTAAAGCTTCATTGGGATTTAAAATTTTTCTAAGATTTGATTAGGATTTGATTACAATTTGATTATGATTTGACTAAGATTTGATTAGAATTTGTCTAGAGTTTTATAAAGATTTTATTAGGATTATCTTAGGATTTAGGATTTTACTAGGATTTGACCTAAGATTTTATTAAGGTTTATTAGGATTTTAATTAGGATTTATTTAAGATTTATTTTATATTTTTGTATTTTATATTTTTTTAAAGTTTCTTTATTTTAAATTTTTTTTTTAAGATTTTTTTAATATTTTTATTATTTCTTTAAAATTTTATTTTTATATTTCTTTAAGATTTCTTTGATATCTTGTTTTAGAATTATCTTTGACTTCTTTGTATTTCTTTTGTAACTTCTTTTAAATTTATTTTAGATTAGTTAAAATTTGATTAGGATCATTAAAGATTACTTAAAGTTTATTTAATACTCTATTAGACTTTATAGGATTATTATTGCTTTTCTACTTACCTTCTATAGTTAAGTATCTAATGTATTCTGAAGCAAGAGCATATGTAATATGATAGCAAAGGACATGAACAGAAATGAATCATACAAAACTATGTGTATGTATGTGTGTCAATATGTAAGTTTTCTAAATGACCATTTGGTGATTCTTAGTCACTCAAAACTCGTGGAAATTGTCACTAGACCCTGACTCATTAGAAATGTATCATCTTTCAAATGTCCAAAATATTCTATAAATATACCATTATTTCTATTTAAACACATTTTTAATTACTCACAAGTACTCTTATACTTCAAACACTCAACATTATAATTTTTGATGATCTTTCAAGTCTATATGCCTTAATATCTTTAAAATATTCAAAATTATATATCTTGTATTTTTTTGCATTAAATTTGAAGCTCATACAATTTGGTATCATTGTACATGAAATATATTCAAAAAATATTATCTATGAAAAATATATATATATATATATATATATATATATATATATCTTGTTATAAGCTTCTTGTAGAGTTATTGATGTGAGTATATTTATAAGGCACTTTCTTTTTGTATACACTACATTTACCACAACTTCCATTTAAAATTTTGATCAAGAAGTATATTCCTTATCATCTTTATAATAGTTTGATTTTTTATTTCAAAAATTCCATTTTATTATAGAATATAAGAAGTTGAGGTTTGTCTTGGAAAATCTTCAATCTTAAAGAATTCATAAAAAAAATTTGATAAGTATTTACTTCTATTGTTTGTGCTCAACATCTTAATCTTCTACTCTCATTGTGTTTTTATAAATGCCTTAAAATCTTGAAATTTTAATAAATACTCATTCTTATCTTTAAGAATGAAAATCTACATCGTTCTTGAAAAATCATCAATTAATGTGAAAAAATATATTATTCTTCTGATTGATAGCATCTTCATAAGTCCATAAATATCCAAATACACAATCTCCAATAATTTGCTTATATGTATTGGAACTCCACTCAGAAATGAAATCATTTATTATTTTTCTTGAATATAATCTTTACAAGTACAAATCATGGCATTTTTTTATGATTGACTAAGACGCAAATCACTTACTATAGATTGGAGCTTCTTCATGCTTTAGACATTCAAATGACTAAAATGTTGATGCCAAATGCCAATCTTGTCTTGATTTTGTGGAAATTCAACAAATAATACTATTTCAATTCTATTGACCTTCTTAAAATTAATAAAATACATGTTGTTATTTTTAAAGTTGTTGGCAACATCATTTCTATCTAATATCTTTATAAAACATCTATTTATATCAAATTACATATTATAACCATATAAAACAAGTTTGTTCATCAAAAAAAGATTCTTCTTTTTATCTTAGGCATTTTCATGAAGAATCAAATCAATAGGATAAAATCTTTATTTTGATATTATTTATTTATTTATTAGTCACTTCATTAACAAGTCTTACTATAATATAGTACAATGTAAGTTTCTTAATAGATCTCAATGCTACAATTAAATAATTGTAGGATTTAAGAAGGCGCACAAGTAAGGTCATGACAATATCATATTCAGCTATCAAATTATCAACAATTGTTAATTGATTTGCAAGACCTTTTATCTTATTGATATGAGCCATGAAATCATCACCTTCTACCATCCTTACTATCAAGAACTTTCTTCTTTTTTATAATATATGGAATAGATTCTTATACTCATAAATGTTAGGAATGCTCTTATTTTCATAAATTTTATAAAAAGTCTTCTATGCTTTAATGGTCTATTGTAAGAAATAATATGAAAAAAATTGGCTTTAATCAAATTAGTAGCAATCGTAACAAAAGACTTATTTTTCATGTTGTTTGAAGTCCTTCTTCATATGAAAAATTGGTACTTAGAAGGTCTTCACTTTCATCTATAATATTCCAAAGATTTAAAAAAGCCAATAAAAACTCTATTTTTTCTTTCAATGGTAGAAATTATCTCTTCCAAACTTTTCAATGACCCTCAAGTCTTTAATTTCACTTGAAGCTATATCTAAAAAAAAGAGATGTATTGAAGAATATCCAAAAAAAGAATCTTAGAACTCTCAAAATTAACAAAAATGTATTACTCCTATAGAATCTCAAAATACCCTCTTTGTGAATAAATTAGTGATTATATTCACAAATCACTTTTAACTTTACCTCTAAAACTTTTTATAAGTTTTCTAAATTATATATACATCACTTATCAAATTTTCCACCTTTAAATCACTTCTATACTCATAAATCACCTTTTAATACTATAAGAGGCTTTTTAAGCACCTTAAATTTTTTTTATTACATATAAGTACAAAATTAGTACACCAAAGATCTAATTCAATAAGAAAACATAACATTAGTGTTCTAAAATATTATTTTAAGATGTCAAATAAACTCTAAACTTAAAATGTATTTATCAATAAGTATGAATAATCTTACATTTAGAGCTAGATTTAAATGTAGAAGTTAGGAGATTATAAATTCTAATATTAGCAACAATAATATAATTTACTTCTTATAATAACAAAGATTTCATAAAACTCCAAAACTTATAAATTTAGATCAGTGGATCCATAATATATTGAAAAAATACAAATTAGAAATTCCAATACTTATCATTAAGAAGGTTGCACATAAAGAGAAGTATGGAATGAATTAACTCTCACTTCCACCACCTTTATTTATAGATGGTGGTTGTTGCCTAAATAGATAACTTTTATCTTTTGACTTTTACATTCAACAAAAGATATACTTAATAATTCTTTGGCATCTCATTTACTACAAAGATATTCTATGACATATATTTTATACTTTTACCCATCTTTAAATATTTCCTAATAAATTCTTTATCTAATTAACATTATCTTTTTGTTCTTAATCTTGTAGATTATTCTTAAATTTAATTCTTATACATCCTAAAAACCAATCTTTTGATCACTAAATGACAATTTATTCTACTTTTATTTTTACTTATTTAACATTCCCTACATAATGCATTTTTTGGTACTCGATTCAATTGTAACATGTGGACATCATTGGAATATTCTAACATTGCAACACATCTCCATGATGCACTTTCAAGACCAATGCCAAACGAAGCAACATCATAAATGTGATGTATATCCATTAATAGTGAACAAAAATCCAGGTTTCGGTAATTTGGTATATCCACCCAATTGCCTTTTGCCACTTCTTAAAACTACTCATCTGAAGAGTGTTTTTCTTTTGATCAAACATATGACTTGCAGTGTATCAACACTGAATAAAATGGACTTAGGTTAATCATGGATAAAAAACATTACCACCCAGACTGGAATATTAAGCCTGATTACAACAAGAGGCGGCACCAGATCAACACAAACCAAAGCCTACACGCAAAGCACAACTTCAAGTGCAGATATACAAACTGGTTGTTGCAGAACAGGCAACTTTATCAGCAGAGATAACCTCCTGTGTACATGATCAGGCCAGATGCTTCTTTTTATTCGCATAGAGTCTTCCAAACCATTAAAAAATAAGAAACATGTCTCATTTGAAGAAGACCATCTGGTCATGAACAATTAGAACTAACTATGTTGGCATCAATCAATCAACAGTTTATGCACAAACATGTAGCGTCGAAGCGTGCACACACACACACACACACACACACACACTAGCCAGAGATCCGCATAGCTTCCCGCTTGAGACGATATCGAGGATGACGAGGTATCATCTGTGTGTGCCCCAATCCATACTGCCCAATTCCACCCTCGGCATAAGGACCATCGTAGTAGATGTAACCCAGACGCTTTCCGCAAGCTGCGCAGGTCAGCTTGGTGCGGTGCCTTTGCAGGCCCCATGAATCTAGCGTCTCGAAGAATGGAAAGCATGAATTATCCTCCTTCTGGCGAAAATCGGTCTTATCCACTGCGGAGAACGAGAGGGTGCCTTTGTTGCCGGCGTCGAAGTATGCATTGGGCGGGAAGAGATACTCGTCGCTGAGGTTTAGACACCGGTTGCATCCCTTGCAGCTGTATAAACATGGTCAGTAAAATGTACATATGAGAATCGCTTGAGAGACATAGTGAAGCATGCTGTGGCAAGCTCTCTCATAACATGCTCGGGACCATGTTCACGGGTGGTGGTGGTGGATTGAGGTTCGCTTAACGTGAGAAGAAGCGAAGATAAACAAAGGAGAACACAGGCGAGTGGAGGAAATGCTCACTAGTAGATGGTCATCCTAGAACCAGCTCCCGCTAAAGAAACTGTAGGTTGAGCAGTTCCTGCACCAATGACCTGCACATTTACCAAAACATTGTACGGGGATGGTGAGACACTTCGTTACGGTAAGCCAGCAAGTAGAATCTAAGTGCCAAGCTGATTCAACACTGTGACCGGATTATGTGTTTCCACTTCGTGCTTGGCCTCGTGGTTGCTTTACGGCAGGGTGCTCTCAACGGCATTAAGAGCGAGTAAGCAACAGGTTGATACCATTTGGCGTTTGGTTGATTGAGTTTACGTCTGCCCTAAGGACTCCATTATGGTTTGAGTTGCTATGATTGGCCAATTCTTCATATGCATTTCCTGGTGACGTGAAAATCTGATTACAGTAGGGACTGCAAAAGTCGTAAATGTGGATTGAGGTACACAGCATGGGTGCAAAGTTAAGTCGGGATGGCGAAGTCGTCCCAAGCTCAACATGGCCCCCGAAGCCAGGTTTAGGGTTTGGGAGTTCAGTGGAAAAAAGAAAAACAAGCGATTGTTAGAACCACTCCGGGCATTTAGAGTGGAAATAATTCGCTGCAACGAATAGGGTTTGAATGTTCCTCAATTAGATTCCTAGCCTTAATGCATGTCGACTACAACGAGAGAGAACACTGGATCCACGACTTCATATGGCTAATGAAATTGTAATTTGTCTTGACCTTGACGCACAAAGCCCAATCCCTATTGTCTGCCATGATACGTCACGTCGCAATTGCTGGCTTGCACCGCGCAATATCTAAACATTTAAATCTGTCCGGCAAATCTAAATCAAATTAACAGCACAAGCTTTGGCCGACAGAATTCAAGTTTAAAAGACAAACGAATCGAAAGCTCGCCCAGCGTCAGTCGAGTGATTCATATGAAGATACTGAAAGACTTCTGCGGTCTCAGATAATCAAACTAACCACCATAATCTCCGGTGATCCTGACCTATGCCGTGACCTGTCTGAAAAAAATTGTTGGATTTGTGGTCAGGGTTGTTCGTTGTGTTGATGGGTTGATGTTGTTAGTTATGAAATTAACCCATCAACACAACTAACAACCCTGACCACAAATCCAGCAAAACCTGCAACTCAAGGAACCATTGCCGGCCAGCTACGATAAATATTCACCCAGAGTGCCTTCAATGTCACTCATTCCGAAGAGTGAGGAGTAGCGAAGTTGAAACGAGGCGATGGTGTACCAGACAAGCAAACGAATTAGGTCACAAGCAGCATAAGATGTTTCCGCACTCTAGTGAAAGAAAACAAAAAGTCCACTGCCTGCTGAGAGCGGGGAGGTTAAATGGGTGAAATTGATATCATCCATGGGATTTGTGAATACTGTACCTAGCCTTGATAGAAGCTCTTGTCAACACGTTTTTCAGAAGTCGACCACTCGTGAGATAGACAGAGCACAATCACATTCACTTCACGGCTGAATCAAGACGGAATGCACACAACCAACGCCACTGCTCAAGTCGAGTCGCGAAGGGCGGCTTTCCGTAGCAGAAACGGAAAATGACATACAAGCCAACAAAAACCGAACGTGATGGCAACAGTTGGCTACGAGAAGACTGAAGGCAATGGATGACGATGCACTGAGATTCTTCCGATTCTCGTTGCCCCATTCGAAGAAAAGTGAATTAGGACCTGAACTATCAGACACTCTGGAGACCCGGCAGGCTTGGTGTTACAGATCTCCACGCCTCCCTGGAAGATGTTGTTCGTCAGAACATTTGCTGTGCAAAATGTTGATTGGCTCGCGTACAGGAATGCGGGGTCCACAACAAGGCTGCGGACTCAATGAACTTTAATTATTAGTAGACAAACAATCAAACTTATATAACTCACTAACAACCATCTCTAAATGACCATGAATTTCCTATTCTGAAAAAAAGAAGAGCAACTGCACATTTGTTCCAATCTTACAGAACAACCAAAATTCACTTCCCTCGGTCCCAGATATTTCACTCTCCACTAACGGGAGACTGGTGCGAGCGAGAAAAAAATATTTTCCCACCACTGTAGTGGTCTGCAGCCGGTGCCTCTATTCGTTCATATCGTCAATAGGGACAGTCAGAGGTCGCAGCAAATTCACGCCCACACTCACCCACGCACTCGACTTTATTTGGGAAAATTATGAATAGAAAGAAACGTGCCCCATTTAGGAGGATGAGTGTTCACTTCGCGACAACCTTAAAATGAGCTCGTGTTGTCGAAGACTCGAACTAGTAAACAAACGTTTCCTGAAGTCAAATGACGAGAGCTCAAGAGACTTGCACTATCCACAGGGCTACGTTCATCCACAGCTGACCACAGGGAGTCAAATCTTCTCAGTCGCATCCTGTGCGGAGAATTCACCCTTGACAAGATTCAGCTACGGAAAGGTTCTCTTGCAAACATCCTCGCATCTTCCCTTACGAATAATCTCACTTCGTACACGGAATACACGGTTTGTGTGTGTGTGTGTGTGTGTGTGATCTTTCCCCCTTTTTATCTCATCTGTCGAAGGTAAGGACTGACGACCCTGACGACAAATGGTGCGCAAGTGGTCATGGATCATGGCTAGAGAAATGAATGGTTTAGGGTTTAGAAATTCACAGAGAGGAATCGCCACAAAAGCTCATAACGACTCGCGAAAACAGCCTCTAACTATCGGATCGCGCCAACCCATTTCTGCCATTCTTACTCACCCCAAAATGTTGCTCCCTTGACCTAAAAAATCAGCAAGTGGCCATAAGATTTTGAAGCGTAACGATTCACGTTGCTCGATCGCCACACAAAATACGATCAGCAGCATCTAAGGAGGGAGGAGGAGGCGGCGCGGGTTGGCCCCTCCTCCGAGACCCGGTCCCAGGGCCTATCGAACGGGGACCCGCGATTGAATAAAAAATCAACGACCCCATAGTGTCCAAATTTAGATTATCCTTCTTCGTCTCACATGATAAAGAAGAGTGCAAGGTGCATGCACACCGAGGTGTCATGGCTTTTAATAGTTGATGATATATACATGTGGCTATCTTTTCTCTCTAATAAGATTAATGTTTGTAACTTGTAACTATATTAGAATTCTTAAAATGAGAATAATTCCAAAAGCAACTAATAACTTTATTTAAAGAAATATTATTGTTATACAAGTTTAAATTCTTATCATTTAAAATTTGAAGAAGCTTTGAAATTACTCAAGAATATTTAAAATTTACATTAGAATTGTTAAAGTTTGTTGAAAAAATTCATAATAATTCAAAAAAATTAGAATGATAAACATTAAAAACATATTTTAAACAACAATTAAATTGTGTATATATATATATATATATATATATATATATATATGAATTCTCTTAAATGCTTACCTTTATTTTTATTCTAAAATATCATATAAGTATATAGTATTTATATTATTTATATTATTTAATATTTTATAATTAAAATTTTCACATTTTTAAAAATTAAATCACTTTATAAGTTACAAAAAAATGATTTTTATGAATATATATATATATATATATATATACTTGTTTTATAATGTTTGTTTTATTTTTCATGAAAGATGTGCATACAAAAGCATACATCTTTCATGTAACATTATAGTTGATTTGATTCTCTCGTGTAACACTATAGAATAGATTAAGTTTGTTGTTATTTATTTTTTAAAAGGAAAGGAAAAAAAAAAAAAAAAACAAAAAAAAAACAAAAAAAACAAACAAAAACAAACAAAACAAAACAACAACAACAACAATAAACAATTCAATTTAGAAATATTTAAAGCAAAGACATTAACTAATATATATTGTGGTAGGATTTGAAGCCTTAATATGTAAAGATGCATCATACATAGGTTATTATTGTGCATTATTAGAAGCTATTGCCTATGTGTCTAAAAACTTAATGTAACTATTTACATACATTCAACAATAATCTATGTATTATATTTTTATTTTAATAATAATTTCCATTAATCAAATAAGTAATAAATAAAATATATGAAGGTTAATACATAATACTATAGAAAATATATATATATATATATATATAATATTTTATTTTTTAAAAAATAAAGAATAATTCATTTGTCTAAAATAACCATTGAAATTTAAGGTATGGCTTATGCCATCACAACTTTTGCTACAACCACCACTATCCATTTGACATATATTTTTAGTTTTTTATTCTAAATATATATATATATATAGAGAGAGAGAGAGAGAGAGAGAGAGAGAAATAAATTGAATCAGATGGTTTGGAAGGTATTGAATTCAGGTGGCCTTTGTTAGATGAAGGATTGCGGTGGTAGTAGCAAAAAATGTAGTGACATTAGAAAATTCCAAAAAAAAAATTAAAAGAAAATAATAAAAAAATTTATGCAATTTTGGTTCAGATTAAAATAATACATGTAACATTGAATGCTTATAATCAATAACATACTACAAAAAATGAATGACCATAATAACTATAAACTGATCATGAAAAAAAGGTTTTATTTAATTTCCTTCATTGTTATTGACATATGTAATCATTTTCAAAAACATAAATCCTATCTGTCAAAGAATATATACATATATTTTATTAAAGCCTCAATATATAATTACATTAACTTTTCCTATTTTTTATCATTAATTTTATGATTTTTTTTATATAAAGAATCAACATACCATATCCATTTAAAGTATGTTTCAAGATGTCTAGAATGCACAAAAATACAAAAAAGAATTCGCTACTTTTCTCATGTTTTTTGGAATATATCATTTCACTATGATTATCATTATTATGTTTGTTCATATTATAGGCATTGATCATAATCTGTTTTCTCTTAAACAAAATTTACATACAGATTTTTTTTTTTTGCCTATTTTGAATTATATATATAAATATATATATATATATATATATATATATATTTATACATACATGCATGTTTAAATATCGTGTTATCATGCATTAATTTTCAAAGTATCTTAAACATTATGGAATAACATCAATAGTATGATTGCATGAACTATTAAAAAGTTAAAACAACATAAGCTGAGAACTTAAAAAAAATCATGACATACAATTGATTGAAACATATCCGAACCTTCTACCAATTTTTTCTTGAACAAATATTAACATATCAAATCTTAATGTAACAATTTTTCTTGTTCTATTACTTGCATGCTAAATCACAACCCTTATCTTGCTACTAATTTAAACACAAGAATGCTTGCTATACAGAAGCACACAGCAACATTCACAACATTGTTTGTTTCATAATCCACAATAATTAAGGAAACTAAATAATTGGTGATGGTTGTTGTTGTCAATACTATTTAGAAATAAAGTCTCACAAAAATAAATCTCATGGTTTGACAAAGAAAACTTTTCTTAAAAAGGGTATTGATATCATCACCATATATATATATATATATATATATTATTTTTAAAGGCTTGAGTAGTGCCTTAAGAATTGGTGAAGAAAACCTCGAGGGGCGTGCGTGCATGTGGTGGGTATGACCGTCGGGGAGGCCTTTTTCGACGGAGCACGTGACACCTTTCACCGTGGCTTCGTTAATGCGGAGAATTACAGCGTCGAAGCGCGCGAAGGGGAGAGAGCGAGGGCTTCGGCCACAACCGGTGAAGAGGACGGGGGCAGATCTGAAGGGAGAGAGAAAGAAATAGCGCTGGATCTGTTTTATCCCCAAAGGATTCTTCACGCATCGCATCATCGGGTTTATCATCCCATACCTTTTGAATCAAGCCAAGGTCATAATCCTGACAACTTCAGCACCCACAAATTCCACAAAACACACACAGAGAGAGAAAGAGAGGTCCACGTTTGGCATCACATATTGCGCCAGAGAATTCCGCCCTGCGATGCGGCCACAGTAACTTATCCCCCAGGACCTGCCATTCGCCAAGTGGGTGCGGGGGTATACGCAAGACGGGTGTAGTAAAAGAGAGCTCGTGGTACATATTTGACCTTGTCCGCAGCGTCGTCATTCGCTTCTGTCGGAAATTTCTTCGCGTATATTTGGAAGGGTGGACTCAGCAGCTATTCTTTTAGGCTTGTGGCATTCGGGTTGAGAGCGGGTTGTTGGAGTGTTTGAGTGGATCTGTAGAGGAGGAGGGAGGGAGGGAGCGAGAGAGGAAGAGAGTCATGACGTCCATTACAAACGGCGCGGCGGTGGTGGAAGAATCAACCACAACAGTTGGGAATGCTGAGAAATCTTCTCTTGTATCGCAAGGGAGTGGATCTCAACCCGCCCGAGGGACGGCTTCCAAATATGATTTCGTCAAGGTTTGTTCCGTTTCGCCGTTTCTCTCAAGCTTATTCTCAAGGATGGTAGTGTGTCGGCAGCTGACAACTTGCGCGTCTAGATCCATGCCAAAATCTCTGCTCTGAATATCGGAAATTGTTGTGAGAACAATTCCATTCTCTGGAAATCTTAATTCTGTGTCGGGAGGAAGTGTGAGCTAGCCGTTCCTCGCACGTTGACCGCACAGAAAGCTGTTGTTGCAGTTAGGTGATTGGTTGTAGAGCATACATTAGGTTTGAGGGAGAATGAAAACATTGTTCGGATGGTTCTGCCCACCTGGGTTTTCAAGTGCACTGATCATTCTGAACACAGTACTGATTTGGCGCGAAATTGCCCCTTCAAACGTTTATAATTCCGTGGGTCTTGGGAAAGGCCGGTAGAAGGTATGCTATTGACGCATCTTGGTGAGAGTGGGATGCAGGTGAAGGTGTGGTTGGGGTCCAATGCAGATCATTATTATATTTTGTCGCGGTTTTTGATCAGTCGCATGCTGCTAGTTACGAAGGTATTGCACATTTCCACACCCCACCCTGCTCCCCCGGGTCATTCTTGCAAAAATTGATGAACAATCACGGAACGGGTTTCACATGTAGCCAGGGTAAACTTGCCTGCTTCTAGTTGTTCGCGAATCTGAAAGTCTCACGTACGCAAATTGGTCCGTTTCTTGTCAATTTTTTGTGATCACTTGTGGTGTATTGATAAAATCAGGATTAATTTCACTTCAGATTCCAAATCACGTCGCCATTAAGATCTCTCTGGAGCTCAAGAAATTACTCATTGACAACAGCTTGCTTGATGTGTAAGGCCCCTCATTCAGGCAAATTAAAAAAAAGTTGCATCTTGGGGCGATTTTGTATGTACTATGTCTTAGTGTCAACGCTTTCAAGAGCTGTACTAGAATGCGTCAGTCGTATGTTTTTGGACGAGGATCGGTAATGGAACTTGTTTTCTAACTTGGGAAATTGCTGGGTACTGATAGGTCGCAGTCAGACCTGGAGGCCAATTTATTTAAGGTATGGTGCACCTTTTCACATTTGCATTCTTTGGGAATGCAAGTTTGTACATGGGCGTCGTAGATTGGTTTTTCTCAACCAACACATCGGATTGTTTTACTTTTCAAAAACTCAAGCTTCTTGTTGTTTAACTGAAGGTTAGCTTCTCAATCTGTTTCTGAAGTGATATGTTGCTGTGTACAGCTGATGGAGCGACGTGGTTATGGCGCTGAATACATTGAGCGTTACAAAATGATGACGAGGTGGATACTACGCCTCCATCTTTCATGCTAATTACGGTCACGCAGATCTGATTTCCTCTCAAGTACTCTTTACCCTTATTTTCCTTCAGACAATACAGTGTCACGAATGAGAGCCATGGATTAGCTCGATCACTGTTTCGTTTTATTGGGGTGTGATTGCGTTTAAATTTCAATATTAATGTCAGCTGATATATATTATCCAACAATCTCTACTCCTTGTGAATCAGGTTTCATCACCAAAGGTTGCCACTCATTATTCTTGTGTGCGGCACTGCGTGTGTTGGCAAGTCCACTCTGGCCACTCAACTTGCCCAGCGCCTTAACTTACCGAACGTCTTGCAGGTTTGTTCGTCTCACTGAAAGCAGTAGGACCATCTTGGTGGGGACGCCACTTGTTTCTCTGTTTGACGTGAATTTTGTTCATAAATCTTCCTCTTACGCTGCGAATGGCTCTATATCCGCAGACTGATATGGTCTACGAATTACTTCGCACCTCCTCAGAGTAAGAAAACACTCTCCTATCTTCATTGCGAGCCATCGATCTTTCTTCCTTCGCCAAGTTTTCTGTCTGCATTTTTACATGTTAAAGATTTTACGGACATTGTGTTCTGATTTCTGAATCCATGCCTTGAGCAGTGCGTTGAACAGTGCTCCTCTTGCATCTAAGCCTGTTTGGTCTCGAGATTTTGCATCGTCTGAGGAGCTGGTCACAGAGTTTTGCCGCGAATGCCGTATCGTCCGCAAAGGTTTGCTGCCTTTCTCCTATAATTCTCCTTTGCGTGGCGTTTTTTTTCTTTTCTTGATGGCCTCCTTCCCATCTACATCGGTTGCAAAGCATGTATGTGGAGGAGGTGTTTGTGTACATTTATCCTGTACTTTTCAGATCTCAAGTATTTAGTTGTGAACTAAATAGTGTTGAGAGATATTGGACTTGCTCAGAGCATAGTCTGATTCTAATCTTGTGTTCACTAGGTCTTGACGGTGATCTAAAGAAGGCGATGAAAGATGGGAAGCCAGTGATTATTGAGGTAACCGTCTCCAACTTATACAATGCGTCATTGGATTATGAGTGGTGTACAAAATGAACAACACATTATTCAAATACCATGCAATACAAATGATAGAACGAACGGAAGTCTAAATCATATCTGGTATTAATTTTGAGCGGTGCATCAGCCCTAAATTACAATCACTTTCTGAAACTCAATTTAGTGGCAGGGCCTATCATGCTAATCTCACTGAGCTTCGATTGTGTCCTGTATTTATGATATATCTGTAGAGAAGTGAAAAGTCTCACGTAATCAGAAGCCTTGATTGGTTTGTCTCTGCACCTCTTAAACGAAATTGAGACTACTTCATTACAACAGCATAGTGTGGTCGCAGGGGCTTCATTTGGATCCATCGATCTATCTAATGAACGAGGAAAGTGGCGGGTTCGGGAGTGGTACGTTACAAATTAAGGCCGTACCTGCAGCAGCCAATTCGGTGGCAATCGCGGGAATCGACAAAGATGGTAAAAGTGAATCCATATTCCAATCTTACTCATCAAATGTCTCCAAATAGCTAATCAGTTTGTTGATGATAATATTTGATTTCAGTTAATTGTTTATGTTATCATAATTATTGTTATTTTAAAAAAATAATTCTGGTTCTAATCTTCGCGATAATCTACATCAGATGCTCATCAATGACCTCGGTATCTCCAAATTGTCTTACGAATGTTTGTTGAGCTTGCAGGAGCTACCGCTGAAGCTGCAGTGACCAAAGAAGAGGCAAAATCCCCAGCCAAATGGACGCCACCGAAGTGCATTATTGTGCCTGTCGTGCTTAAGATGGCTGATGTTGATCACCAGGCATGTGATTTGGCAACTACTTTGGAATTTTACCCTTTCCCTGAAACTAGTTTTTGTGCGCATTCGATGAGTTTTATTTGACTCGAACTTGGTTCTTGTAGCCATCGTAATATCAGTTGTGTTTGAAAATGATTTCTACCTAGATGTACATTTGATCTCAAAACATCTCTATTTTTCTGTATTAACCAGACTCTACTGGAAGAGTGGATCGCTGCACGTGCCGCCGAAACCGGAGAAAAACTCTCTGTTGCGGTAAGTTGCCCTTCAGATCATCGTGAAGAATACATTTACAACTGGTAAATTTGAGTGAACGGTCGAAATCCACATGTGAATTTGTTTTGTCAATTTTATAAACAGGTTTCACCAAAGATGATGGTATCTCTGGAAAGTGGACATTTGATTCTCGACGCTCTTGATTATGTGGATGTCGTGCAGGAAAAGGAAGCTTTGATCAAAAGACTTCAAACTATTCAGGACTATCTCACATCTTTTGAGTCACAAGTACCAACATCAAAACCTTCCAAATTTCTAATTGTCTAGCAGCTTCAACACACCGAAGATAGGTTTTAGTCAAATCTTTAGGCACTGATTCCGTCATGTGGGTCTAACTGGTCAGCTTCTGTACTGTAACAGGGAATGACGGTAGTGAACCTATCCGCCACAACGTTCCCACAGACATTGGACTGGATGCACAGCTATCTCTTGGAGGTAATTTCCCTTCATGTCGATCAATTGTTGCCACTTAGATCGAGTCCTTGATCCTTGAACTTCACGGATTGTAGACATCAATCAGATCAATGCCTGTCACACTAATATCACTCGTTTGATATGGTTAATCACACAGTCTTCTTTGTTCAGGTTACTCACATCCATTCCAGCTTCTCTGAGTGGTGAGGGTGTCTTATTGGGAATCCAATAAGTATGACAACAGTTATAAAGCTGTGCGTTGTGTTTTGTGTTGATGTGCAGTGCATCAAACAAGGGTCTACAGCGCCTCCTACTTGTGCTGGCTCTTAATTCATGTACCAGGGTATATTGTCCCACATTTTCCATATATGTACCATCCTGGGATTAGTTAGTCTCTATGTTTTGAGTTACCATCAACTGGGTTCATGGTGTATGAAGATATGCATATCCCAACACGCAAATTCTGATCAGAATTAGTGAAAGTGGTTCCTTAAGGGTTTTATATCCTTAGTGAAGTTGAAACGGGGACAATGCAAGATCTTGGGAAATATCTTATGAAATTGGAGCTTAACTACCTTGGCTTGAATACCACATTCATAATAGGCCCTTGGAATAAATATTTGATTGGATCAAGAGCACATTTTCCTAGCAATTAATGTACAGTTTTCAGTTAATTTACAAATATCTGGAAATCTCTTAGTTAACATTAGAAAATGAATGAGAAATAAAAAAATAAAATCCTAACGCTTAGGTAATTGCAGCGAAACAATGTAGCCTCCAATTTGGACGTTGTCATTGTGGTTTTCTAAGCAATGCAAAGCATCCTATCAAGGTTAATTGTAGAATCATCAATAATCTTAACCTTCCGAAACATTAATGCAAAATGTGTATTGCTTCAATGCTTCTATTTTGTTAATTGAATCTCTTTTTCTGTATTTAAGTATAGATCAATGTATTGTAATAAGTTATTAAAAACAGAGATGAAACTATATAATTAAAAAAAAAAAAAAATGGCAACTTGAAGTAAGAAAATTTGTTTTGTTTTTTTTTCTTAAGTTTTTGATATTTTTCCAACTACATGGAAAATCATACTTGAAAAAGAATTTTAAGCTTCAAAACGTTGATTAGCTTTTAAAATATGTAGGACACATCATTTCTGAGTTCTTTTAAAACAAATTTTAATTAAACAAATGACTACATATGTGTGTGTATATTTATTTGTATTTTGAACAAGATACAAGATTCTATTTATTTTTAGATTCTAAAAAAACGTGTTTCCACTTTGAAATACAACCCAATTTTCTAATCTCAATTTGCGAACAACCCCCAAGCAAAGAATCCAACTCAAAGCAGCGAACGACAAAGAGCGAAATGAAAAACGCTCGGATGAATGACGTCATCCACAGAGGATGAGCGAGCTGGACAAGTGACGCGGTGTGAACGGATACGCCGTGGTCACGCGGCATGAAAGGGGTCAGTTGCCACAGGAACCCCAAAGTTAACAACTTTATTTGTTCGTTTCCCAAAGACCGCACCAGTATCGCACTGCATCGCATCCTCGGAATTGTGGGCACAGCGGAATATGCCAACAATCCCCTCTTCTCTCCATTTTCTCACATGGGTTCGGGGAAATTTCGACGTCATGTGCACGGCGCGGGGAGATTTACAACTCACTCTGAGTCCCTGTTGTTCAGGGTACCGGCTCCGTGTCGATTCTCGTCACCTCGCTCATGCATTTGTGTGAGAGTGGCTACAGTCAAGCGAATCTGTGGTGTTTTGCACATGGGTCGGTTCAATGGCAGGGGAATATGCTGAAGGCTCGTCCTTCTGATCGACCGGCATTGCCTTCCTTGTCCAATTACGTCTCCGTATTCCTCTTCCACGAACATATTCGGAGCGATTAGCAACTGCTGACGAAAGGTCACAGAAAACGAGACTTCCCGGTTTTCGAAGCGCGCTTGATGAGACGCACAAGCATTGTAACATGGGTGATAAAGATGGCGGAATCCAGATCCCGTTTAGGTCTTGATTTCAGCAGAATGGTTGAGGAGAACCCGTGTGCGAAGATGGAGGTGATGAGGCAGATTAGATAGAACTGATAGGTCGTCGTTAGTACTCGGGAGTTATATTCAGTTCCACGAAGAGGCCCTCTGCCGAGTGGTTATGGGCTTTCCGATTCAGTACATTCATACGCATTCGTTGTGGTGGTTTTCTAAGCTCAAGGAATAATACGGCACAGCAAATCCAACAACAAATTGTGGTAAAGCGGATACTGGGTGATATCTATCTTCTCCAGTGGCATGCCACAGTTTGTCCGTGCGATTTTATACGAACATTTGCTACAGTGCGTTACGTTGGGGAGTATTAATTCTGAACTGGGTTCAGCCATTGACCACAGAGGAGGCCAAGACTATATTGCTCCAATGTGCATGGGTTCGATTATACTCCGGAACCGTGAGAGGTCTGTGAGAAGGTTCATAATTTTCATCTCAAGTGAGGAAACAACAATCATGAAGGCGAAGATGAAGATCCTTTCGGGCGGCAGGAAGCAAGCACTCCTCGTAGCAGAAACATTCCACATCACACCACCTCTTCGTCAAGTATAAAACCTGTTGGATTATTCTCGTGTGACTGTGGAGCATTCTGCAGTCATCGTCTTCCGAATTCTGCTTCTGGGGATACTTAAACCTCTTGCAGATTGTACCCTCCAATTGCCTGAGGTTGCCAGCACCCAAGCTCACCATATTAACTAGTCAGATGATCTCTATCCCAGAGAAGGGGGTTGAAGCAGCAGCAGCAGCAGCACCAACTTTACTCTGCAATCGGAGTTGCGAAATGTTTGTTAGTGCGTTAGAGCTAAATCAAAAGGCTTGTGCGCTTGACGTCTAAGAGAATAAAAAGATAGTGCGATCTTGCTGGATGGCATGAAAAGTTGTAATTCTGCCTTCTAATTGTAGAATCATTCTTGGCATGTCGCCACAATCGTGTATTGATTTGTTACTGCATTTGGGCCGTGATGCTTTGTATACCTCCGTACAAATTTCGCTCTTGTATGTACATTGAGCGTCAATCTAACTTCGCATGCATTGTTTTCGTGCTCAGCGAGTAACTACGAAGCCATGAGTGATCGTCAGTGAATTCGGGTACGATGTTTGATGTCAGGGTAATTTCTGTGTGGTATAATCAGTTTTTTGCGTGGTACATGTATATGCATATTATATCGAGAGAGAGAGAGAGTGAGAGTCTGGTCAAGCCCCTTGATAAGTTCTTTTCAATTGTTTGATCACAGTCCAAAATGAAAAGCTCCAGTAATCGTGCGATGAACGCCGAAATATTGGCGAAATCTCTGCAGCAGGAGAACGATATTCTTCGTTTTCAGCTCAATGACCTAATCAACCGGGAGCAAAATCAAGTGAGTTTACACAACCTTGATACGCACGCCGATTTTCAAAGTTTAAAGACTTTCTCACAGTTGGAAGCCTTAACGAGAGATTGTTCACTTTCCTTCGTTTTTCAAACCCGTAGAGACTTGAGCTCCAAAGACTGCGAGCGCATCGAGAAGTGGAAATGACTTCTCTGGTGAACGCATCTACAAATAAATTGAAATGCGAGGTAGAGCGCCTAAAGGCACAGTTAGAGCCTGCATCTGCAAGTAGAGCTGAAGCCGCCGCAGAAAAGGAGAGGATTCTCCGTGAGAAGGAGCAGTTGGTGACCGAGATAAAGGGATTGAGAAAGAAGATCGTGGATGAAGAACAGACTTGCGGTGGACGACTGCGTAGTCTAGGATCTGTTGTGGCAAAGTGCACTTGCATAGCAACAAGCATCGTGCAGTCTGTGGACGCGTTTCAAAGGCACGTGCTTCCGAATTTCAGGGTGGTTGAGGATCAGAAGAACCCTGAAGAAAAATCTCAGAGAATTAACTTTGACTCAGATGGATCACAAAAACTAATAGATGAGGTGCATATCCAAGTGCCCAAGAAGTGCTAAAGTGACATCACATCGCACGTCTACTCTGCATTTAAATCACAGGTGGTTGCGACAAAATGGAATGTTGTGCACTTCATCTGACCTGTTTTCACTGAACGTGTGAATCTCCAGATGCATAAATTGGAGGCGGGGGTTGCATTGCTGCGAGTAATTGTGGATGCCAAAAACGACACCCTTGTTCTCATTCGTGGCAAGGTTGGTGACCATATTCAAGTCGTATTTGCGTTGAGCCAATGTTGTCAGATTTGCTCTTGATGCTGCTTACTATAAGTGGGTCACGAGGTCACTTATGCTGATGGTATGCGTAATTTTACAGTTGATCCAAGAGAATGACGAGCTAAAAGCTGATTTGGCAGCCGCAAGAGAGAAGATGTCGGCGGTCCTTCTGCAGGCAGCCTCAGATCCTGAGAAGAAAACCGGCGCCATTGGGTCCAACCCTGAAAATGAAGTACTGAGGCAAGAGATTCACGCGTTACAGGTATAGAAAATGTTTCACACCTCTCTCTACCAAAATTTGTGTCGAGTATCGGTAGATGATATTTGTTCCCAGCGTTTAAAGGAAAACATCGGCGGAAACTGGTACAGGACCTCTACTCTGCAAAAATTGAGCAGATGCAGTCGACGTTGAAGCTGTATGAGCAGGCGGATACTGATCGCAGCATCAAACACGATCAATTGCGACAAGAAATCCAGTCATTGCATCACCATATTACCACCATTGAAGCCTCCCGGCATCGGCTTGAAGATGATCTCAAATATGAAACCTCAGCCCGTTCTCAGCTTGTCACAGAGATTTATCACATGAGAAAGGTTGCTATTTCAAGCACACTTCAACCTCATGCAATACGAGAGGGTTTGCTCCCAATCAAACTAAAACTATATTCTATGTGAAATCTTGACTTCAGGAAAATGAGGCATTGGGATCCGAAATAGAGATGCTGAAACTAAACCAAAAGGTGGTCTGATCTCAATCCCTATCACCACCCTTCGTTTCAGTTCTGCAACTTTATAGTATTTTCAACCAGCTTCATGCACGAAGGCTTACGGCTTTAACGAATAATCTGCACTCACAGTTCTTCAGAGGACATGCAAGAAAAGGCCGCCTCCCGATGGAAAAAATGGATATGGTCAACACTGTGAATCAACTGATGATTGATAACAGCAAATTGAGGAGTGACAAGGCCGCTGTTGAGGAGGAGCTGAAGACGCAGCGACGAACAAATGTGCTCGAGCGCGTGAAGAGTGTCGTCACGGCACGTGATGTGGCCTTGTGTGCGAACAACAAGGTACCATCCTTCATATGGTTTCAAAACCAAATTACTGTAAACCTGGACATAGGTGAATTGGAAACTGCAGTCCGACAGATAACATGGTGTCCCCCGCAGGTGGGTGATTCGGAATTGGCAAGCAAGCTGGCAAGAATCCGGCTGCAGCATCTGGGAATGTATTCGCCCACACAACTTCCACTCACAAATGGCAACCCTTGCTTAAGCACGGCCACCGCAAACCTTTTCCTACCAGCAGCCGACAACCCAGACGATTCCACACCGGCAGAAGATCCGTCCAGGTCGCCCCTTCTGCTTCTCAAGATAGACAGCTAGAAATCAGTGGTCGGCTGCACATATGTGTCACCTACAACCCATCTCACATCACAATCGGTCCTGTGCAGACGCCCATTTGTGCCACCAGCTACAAAACCCAAGAAGCTGTCGGACATGTTCGATGGGGGACTAAAGGGCTTTGCGCAACTGGCCGGCCTTAAAGACCGCGGAATCATTTGATACGAGTCGAAAACACAGCACCGAAAAGGAGCTTCACGCCCGGCTACAAAAACAATCACCGCTGTGACCCAAAAGTGCGAAACCATTTCATAGCTTCATTGAAATGTCTGACAGAATCTCCCGCACTCGATACACAGATCCTTCTCATTGCAAGGCACACAAAAACAACAGAAAACATGCTTCGGCAATCGAAAAACCTCATTTTGAGCCGTGCACCAAAACCTCTCCTCCACTTTTGCCAAATGAACACACATATACACTCACACACACACAAGACCATACTTAAGATGGAGTGCAACCAGCGTGCATGGAACCAGGAAAAGCACCTAAAGCTCATCAATGTAGCCCTCCTCTTCTTTTTCTTCTTCTTCTTCATCATCATCAACTGGGTTTGTGGCAACACATAATATGTTATCAGATGGCTTTCCTCGATTGCTGCACACAAGAAGAATGCTCAAGAATGGCTCCGAAACAACACCCACCATGAATCTATCTGTCCCCCACTCTCTCACTCACACAATTACTCACACACTTACTGATGTTGCACAATCCTGCTTACCCACCGTGGCACATCTTTTTCTCACATATATATATATATATATATATATATCTTTCTCTCTCTCATGGTGATATGTCATGTTTGATATATGTTTATATTTGCATTTCATCTCTTTGGAAGGACTGTGGCGGAAGCTGGAAATAATGGAATGAAAGGTCAAGTGCATTTTATAACTTGATCTTGATTGTTGATGGAGTGAGATGGATATTGGACAACAATTTTCTACATATGAAAAAATGATAGCCGTTAATTTATTTACTTTATATTTGCATTGTATGCTATTTGATGAAATTCATGTTGTTGTTGGGATTACAGAGAGCAAATAGAAATATTTATATTTGGTATTATATTGTGTGAATAAGTCCATTTCTATTCATGTTTTATTTGATATGCATTCATGAATATCATAGAGTTGTGGTATTTTATGATGTATTTTTTTTTTTTTAATTTTTATTTGTTAAATTCTTAAAAGGGAATCCACAAAGAATAAGTTGGATTAATTTTACATCAAAAATGTAAAAAAGAAAAAAGAAAAAAGAATAGATAATCAAGACATACATGATTGAAAGTAGTGGAGTAGGAATGAAGTTAAGAGTAATTATCTATTTTGAGTATAACATACTTCATTTTGTTTGTTTGTTAATGTATTTATTTTATAAAAATACTTTATTTCTATATATATATGTATTTTAAATTAAAATTTTATTTATCTTAAAATATGTTATAATAAATCTATTTATGGTCTAAAATAGTCAAATCTTTTAGTACCTCAAAGTTTTGGTATTAGAGTAGAATTGTACCCATTCATCTACAGAGACAATATGATTGCTAAAGAGGAAATAAGTTTTGTTATATAAACAAATTTAAACAAGATGCTATTATTTCTAATTTGTGTCATTACATTCAATAAAGATAGATAAGTAAAAATATATTTATATATTAAATAAAGGATTATTGATACACATATTATTCTTGAATACTTGATTTTTTAGTTGTAAGTTTAATGTCGGTATCTGCTTAAATATTACTACAAGTTAAAATTAAACTTTAAAGCTTTTAGTTTTATAATAGAACTTAATTGTTCTTAGATCCCAAATTTTTCTTTGAAGATGAAAAGATTTAGATAGTTATAATTGATGGAATTTTATCTCTTAGTTTAATTTTAATAATTTAATATAGATTTAAAATTGAAAATATTTTGGTGTAACTTTTTAAATGAAAAATCATAAATATTTAAAAATTAATCAAATAAAATACTATTAAAATATCATAAAAAATAAACATAACTTGATATCTATGCATATTTAGATATAATATGATCTTTATAATAGTTATATTAAATATTCTAATATTTTAGTATTTTTTAATAATAAAAAGTACTACAATATTAAATATCATATATATATATATATATATATATATATAAGCAAGAAAACGGTAAAATGATCCATCAATTTACTAAATTAATCCACCTTATTATGGAAAATAAGAGAGATCAAGATGAGAGTTGGAAACATGAGAGGGGAACAAAGGGGAGGGAGGTTGGAAATAGAGGCAATGGGGATTAGGAATGAGGGAGGTGGGGATGAGTTTCAATAAAGTGAGTTGATTTAGTAAATGGATATATTATTATTATTATTATTTAATATATATATCATATTCTATCTAAGTATATAATTCTTTAGTATTTTTATTTATTTATTGGTATTTAATCAAAAGATTGTTATCAACTTATAGGTATTTAATCAATTGTAGATTCTCATAGTTTTTAGTCTATATAATTGTAAACTCTTATTTTCTACAAAATTTATTAGTGAACCAATTGAATATTTGCTATCAAATTTCATAGACAGTAAAGTTTTTGACTAATTTTAATATGAATATGTTTGTATATATATATATTTATATTTATATGTGTTTTAAACCTATTTGTTTTCATCCATTCATATTGCAATTTTCTAGTTTCAATTGAAAGTTGTATTTATTTTAAATTTATAATAATATATTTTCAATTACATCAAAAAGCAACAATAATTTCAGTCTAAATTACAAAAATATGATATGGACTTTTAAGATATTTTTCGTGTCATATAGATTTTATAATATATTTTAACTTATCTTAGTTTTAAAATATATCAAAGTAATCTTGATTCAATGGATACATGCATCCAATATATGCTGTGTACGAGAAGAAGATTGAATACCTTTAAAAGCGGAAAAATGACAAATATTAATAATTGAATAAAATTTATTTATAAAATATTTTATATAATCTAGAAAAAAGTGCCTACATTAATTTTGATATAATATATAATACACAACACGTTCCAAGATAAAGAACCCATTGCACAATTGCACTTAAAATATGTATGTATGTATGCATGTATATATATATATATATATATATATATAATTTTTTCTTTGGAACACCATCATGTAAAGAACAACGCCTCTTTAAATTTTCTAACTCTAATATTTAGAAGTCCCCTACTATTACCACTATTACTACTACTATTACTACAACTACTACAATACTTCATTCTTTAAGAATTTGGTCCACAAGCACACCAACACAAGCTCCCAATGCAAACGCAAAATCCCAGCCTCAAGTCTCTCATCGGGAACAAGATAATGGAACACAAAAACCCCACGTTCCCAACAACCATCGGATACGCCACAGAACTACCTCATAATCGTATTGATACGACTACAATGTACACATACGATAGGATACGTATCCATCCTCCTCGGCAGTAAAGAGAGATACGACTCTAAGTGTTGCACACACCGGCACAATTTGTTTACTTGTTTGTTTGTTTGCTTGCTTGCTCTGATGCAGAAGCGGTAGGAAAGCCAAACAAACCCCCGGCGCAGGAAATATTATTCAAGTGGTGCCACATTCCTGCTTGTGAGCATTATCATCAACATCATCGTCGTCGTTTCATTGCTCTCGGATTCCCCTGCGTGCCCTTGGGAAGGGGGGAATTCCTGTGTGCGCAATTGAGGTTCTTCCAATGACCAATTGCGCTGCTTCCATGCTGCTGGAGTTTTCGTCTCTGAACATCGCGGCGTCGGCCTCCACGGGTCACAAGAGTGGCGGTGTTGTTGTTGCCCACAGCAATGGGGTGAGTGCGAGAGTGAGCTGGATTGGGCTCAGAGCGGGCGGGTTGCAAGCTGGAGGTGGTGTCAAGGCGTGCCAATGGCAGGATTTGGTGACGAAGGTCGGGGGCAGGTGCCGCTTGTGCGCTGTCGCGGGGGTTTTTGAGTCGGAGGTTTTAGATACCGGCGAGGACGCGTCAGTCGGAGAGGCGCAGGTGAATACGGTGAAGGCGGACAAGGTGAGTCTGTTTTTTTATTATTTTATTTTTTCTCTGTATTAGGGGTGCATTTTGGTGTCATGGTCTCTTTAGGGAATATTTTCTGCCTGTCGCATAGCTTGAGAGATAATACTTTTCTATAATTTCGCGAGAATCTCGACGTTTCGTCTCGTCTCAAGATTGTGAGTACCTTGAGCTTTCTATGCACTTAGAAGTTTTTTCGGTGGACCAGCAATTACCATAAGGAGTACTGCTAGTGCCGCTATCCTCTTGCCTCTTGGAGTACAGGAGTTCATGAAGTGTTCTGGCAGGTCGCGTTTGCGAGTTACAATGTGATACATTTCAAAGCACGTTCTGATTTGTGGTTGGCACTTTCGTGGATATTCAATGTTTTTTCAAGCAGAGAATTATTTCTGTTTCTATTATGTGGCTGACTCCTACTGTGATGTACTGTATCATCGCCGAGTGTTATCTACTTAGCTTATGATCACATTGTTAGATTGAGCGGCATTTGCTAGCGTAGTTGCTGGTAATTTTTTACCTTTCCTTCGTTCTTCGGAATTTCGAGGCTGTATTTGCCTAATTTCAACTGAATTTGTGGTTTTAGAAGTGATCAGTATCTCTCGCAACCGGTCTCTAAGTCATCGTGACCTTATGCTGTCGTCTGTCGTATTCATATTTGAGGATTTTGTCTAAGTCATTAGGCACGTATGACCGATTAGTTCTGGTTCTTCTTTGGAATCCGCAATGGGTGAATACTGCAGGGCATTGTCAGATACCCTTTACTGGTACATCAAAATCGAAGTGATTCTTAGGTCTTATTGTTAAAGCTATTGCCTATTAGACTTATCACTTATGGCAGCCATGTTCAAGGCATCTTCGTGCTTGTTGAGCATACTTCATGTCTTTTTTTTTCTTTTTTTTTTTTTTTTGGATTGAGAAAAACCGGAATTGGAACACTCTTTTCTCCTTATATGTTGTGACAATATACAGTGGAACATTGATCTTCATCCCAAAATCCGAACTTGGATAGGTAGTCCCCCCTACCAAAGGTCATTGACGTAAGAGGCCTGTAATTTGTGACATTCCAAGATGATTAATGAAGAGTTTTAACATTATGATTTAACAGAACGGGCCAGCAAAATCAGAAAAAAGAAAACGGGGTACTGTGGGACGGCCGGAGCTTGTGGAGGTCATTGCAGCATTGAAGGGAGGCGAAGACGTCGAGAGAACTCTAGCACCATGGACAGGGAAATTTACGCCAGAAGAATGGAACAAGCTCTTGGCGCAGATAGGGGATGTCGATTGGAAACTTGTCCTCAGCATTTTCAACATCGTAAAAACAAAGAGCGTCCTCTCAGCACAGCTAGTCCCCTCACACGACGTGGTTGACAAGTAAATAATAGCACCTTCAAACAACACTTCTGCGTGGTAGTGTATAAAATGCTTGTGAGGTGGATGGAACACGGCATTTTCTTTTCATGACAATGTCGTTTAAATTTCTCCGAGTTTCAGCCTTTCAACCAACCTACAATGTGAAAATTGGTTGCAGAGAGAGGAACTTAAAGCTCCTCAAGACATTTACGACAGTTGGAGGAGTGCTGGCTAAGCATGGGAGGGAAGCAGAAGTTGAGGCTCTCATTTTGGAGATGAGAAGCCTAGGAGTAGATCCAGACACTCTTTTCTTCAATTCTCTTGTAAGGGGTTATGGACGTATGGGATATGTCCACCCAGCTTCACAGGTGTTATTTCAAATGGAAAGATATGGAGCTAAACCTGATCCTACCACTTATGAAAGGGTATGCATCTGAACGCACTACATTATACTCCGGTACCCAAAATAACTGCTCTGTCGATATTTGATGTAGATCATGAAATTGACACTAGTTAGATTGATTATATCTGTTGATTTCTGGCGGCGAAGTCAGGGCATGGGCTCGTTATAAAAGACAGTCATCTTCAGTAGTTGGTGCAAACGTAAAACCTTCGCCCGTATTTAGCTGTTGGCATATGGTGCAGGTGATTACTGCCTACTTGGCTGGAAAGAAGCCCCAACTGGAGAAGGCAATGCAACTTTTGCAAGGAGTTCGTGGCGGCAATATCATAGTTTCATACAAAGTATTGTCGGAGCTGATGACAGCATGTTGGAATGCGAACGTAGCGGAAGATGCGGATCTTGTTTTTCAAGAGATGAAAGCAGCCAATTACCAGATTGACTCAAAGGTATTTTGATTTCCTTCGAGCTACACACTCCGCACCCTCATTTCTAGTGATTGTCCATTTATGAAAAATAGTTCGTTTTTGAGCATCCACAAGTGTAACAACAGATGTCTGTGATGCAACTGTTGGGAGCATGGAGTTGTTTCTGATAAGCGAAATCCTACATCTCCAAATTGGTGCATTATTGTCAAATGAACGCTCACCTAATTCTTACCATTAAGTTTTCAGTCGACATTTTCAATATTAGTCAACTGCAATCCACTCATGTGTTTGTCAAAGTTGTTGCAATGAGAATGGAGAAGAGAGTCGAATTTATCATCTGGTGATGACTCGCAGTACTGTTGTTGAAGTGTGTCGAAATCCAGTTGGTCGTTACGATCTCTTGCAATTATTAAGAGAATGAAAGCCAACCATAACCGTTACTAAGGCTTGATGAACATTTTAAATTCTTTCATTATTTTCATCGCAGGGTCCTCGTCAAAGTGCTGTCTCTGTGTGAATTGTAGACCCCCTTTTGTAATTATTATTTTCTGCTTGGTAATGATTAGGTTTGGGTAAAGCTGATGCACCTTCATGCAAAAAAAGGACACGCCGAGTTGGTGGAGGACATCTTTCAGCAAATGCGAGAAGCAGGCGTGGATGCCAAATGTGGTTCGTTCGATGCTTTGCTGCTTGCATACTGTCGGGCTGGCAAACCTGATCAAGCTCTTAGTGTTTTTCGCGAATACAAGCTGGTAAGGGCTGCACATTTTTGTGTTGGAATTTTGTCTTCTCTGAAGCGTCGTTATTTGCAATAGAGTTAGAAGTCTGAGGATGTTAGTCTGTTGTGATTTCAGCTGAAAAACGGACATTGCAGCACCCTCATTACCCTACAACAGGTAATGGGATCTCGTTTTGACATGGTTGTGGTGTTGGGCAGAGCATGAAGCCATCGTTAGTAGCATTTAATATGATTATCGATGCATGCGGGAAGGCAGGTCGAGATGAGGAAGCTGTGCAGTTGTATGTAGACCTCATCGAGTGTCGTTACCGCCCTGATACAGTTACATACACCTCCCTGATAAGCGCTGTTGTTCAAGCTGGTCGATATGAAAAAGCTGATGAGCTCTACCGAAGAATGTTGTCTGATGGAGTGGAGCCAAGTGGTCACACATATGCCACCATGATTCACGCATGTGCACGGCGTGGCTGGACAAGATATGGCCACGAGGTAGAAATCATGCTCCTCTTTCATTTTGAGACATTACTTCTCGCTTCCTTTTCTACTGCAATGTTTTGTTGTTTAAATTGAATTTAATTTAGTCCCTTTCCGGTTTCCATGGTCGAAACTGATGGTACAACAAGTTTTCTCTTGTTCTGAACCTGATGTCACCTGCACTATTTTTGGACTAATTTGTTCTTGTGTCCAGATATGCTTGGCAGCAGCAAAAGACACAACAGGCCCACTTAATACTGCTGTTTATGGAGCTATGCTTCATCTTTATACCAAAGGCCGATGGTACTCCCACGCAGCGCCAGTTCTAGACGAGATGGGGAGAAAAGGAATTGAACCCGACGTAGCAGGATACGGAACTTTGATTTCAGCATGTGGAGAACCGGACGATAAGTTATTCGCACCTTTGGCTAGGGCAATGGTGAACAGCCAGTTTGAACCACTACAAGTAGCCTACCGTCTGGTGTTTACGCCACCTGCCAATGATGCTGTCAGATCTGAGCTCCCTCCACCTCCAACACACCACATTGATGACTCTGTCTCCTCGATCACATTTCAATCTGATTCTGTTGTTGAAGAGGTTGTATCCTTCTTTAAAATTTATGCACTGACGAGAGGAGTGAAATCGAATTCATCGTTCTACAATGCGTTGATCGACGCTTTATGGGAACGACGTTTGCGTCTGCGAGCAAGACTAGTGTTTCTGGAAGCACGTGAAGTAGTCGAGGATTTTCCACGTCCGCAGTACAACGACGAAGCGTGGTCTTTGGACCTCCGAAGCCTCTCAAAGGGTGCCTCGCAAATAGCTTTCCTGCATTGGTTAGACGAGGTTGCTGAGCGGGCTGCAGCATGCTCAGTAATCGCACCAAGGTTATTACTTATCACTGGTGGTAGAAAGGAAATCGATACTGATTACAGGCCGTATACAGGGAAAGGTTCAGGACAGGGGGTAGTTAGGCAGACGATCGAGGAAGTTGTTAGGGCCTTTGGAATTCCCTTCACTCAAAGTAGTAGAGAGTACGGACCAGCACACTTACAAGCGGAAACTGAACAAGTTGTCAGGTGGGTCTCCTTGTACGGGGATCGCCTGCAATTGGGTAATTTGACCCCTTCATAAATTATTTCCAATGCCCAAGTTAGGCGAGTTCTCTTTTCAAATGTTCTCAATGTGCTGCATTCATGTAGTGGGTTCAGTTTGGTACATGTGCCTAGGCCGTGACTAGGATGCTCCAACTGCGTTCTGGTGGTATGATTCCGAGCGGATTGGTTTGTTCCAACACACTTCATAATTGATTTGTGTGGGTGGTAGCAAAGCTCCGTATATGCAGGCCTTTCTGGAGCTCTCCATGGAACACTGCCGCGGATAGCTTGTGAACCAAGAATTTAAGTATCTTGTAAGACTTGGCATGTATGTTACTCAAGTCCATATACGAACTTCTAACCTTCTCAGTGGTGACCGGCAATATATACTCGAATTAAAGAGAAGCACTTGACATCCAACTCTTTCAAAGACCTGCTTCTAATTTAGACCTCTCGAGGTTTTAGTTTCCTGCCAGCCAAAACAGCTACACAGTTGTCTTTCACATGCATATCTGTGTATTTGGAGGCGAAAGAAACCTAACTTTCGGACAGGCCGTTCAATTACAACATACAAGGTTCTAGCCATTAACAGCAGTTAAAGATATGATGCACGTAATACATACATATACTGTTAAAATCTTACTCGTGAGTTCCGTCTGCATCCTTCTCGGATTCCTGGTTCTGGAAGGTTCTAATATGCGCAGTAGTCAGGATTCTCAGCTGCGTAGTTGTGAAGAGTCTCAGTTATCTTCTCTGAGAGGCCCTTGAGATCCTCCGGAGGGGGTGCCCACACTCCAGGTGCTGGTGTGTATTTTGCAGTCCAGGTGCGGATGGTAGTGTTTCTGTAGGGCCCGCTTTCGTATTTGATGCTGGATGAGAAGCTGCTGTACCGGGGGTCACCTCCCTCTATGGTAGTGTGCTTGAGTTTGTGCCTATCGTCATCCCGCATGTCCACTCTCTCCCTCACAACTCTCCCCCTTCCCCCTGGCATTGCTGCGTTTTATCCGACCATGGAGATGTGTCAGCGGCTGTTATAGTACCTAGCCTTCTGTTCGTAGTGATTCATGAACTGGGAATCTCTAGATATTTGCAACTAGCAGCGGACAGAACAGACCATTAACAAAAGGGAACTTGCTGGGGTCTGGAAAGTGGTTTTTGTGCGTATACTTTGTTACATGGACAGTTCTTTACTTCCAACATAAACTTGTTTCAGGCAGATCATGAACCTCGAGAAGACCACAGAGGGAGGAATCATACCAGGCCCCATCGTAAGAACAAAAACGCTTCCAGGACCGCCATCACCTTCTTCCAGATCAATGCTTTCGAAGTATTCAGGCATCAGCTGTGGAAGGATCTCAAACGAATTCTTGCCTATCTTCCAAGCACGCTCCAGCGGCAAATCCAGAACACGCCTGTCTTCCATGGAAGGCATGATGCTCGAAATCTCGACAAACTCTACGTTGTTGCAGGTTAAACTTGATGCTAAGCAAATAGACGCCCTACAGATAACACAGAGGACTCACAATCTGAATGGTGGACAATTCGAGTGTGAGAAAAGCACTTGAACGATGAGAGGTCGTCGATTTTGCAGGAATTACTACCAACGAGCGTGAACGAGTCTTCCGATCGCGAATGAGAATACACAAACTGGGACAAGAAATGACTGACCAGGGATCACTTCACATTTCTTTCACCAACTAGGGGGGCAGCACTGTACTGGAGCAAGTGGCATCTATCACCAATTGATACTCTGAACACATCGTTTCATTATTTTATAGTTTTGTTTCAATATCACCAAGAAAATGCGGAGAAAATACATCCAGTAAAGTTATGTGGTGATTGTCACTGAAGATTTGTTTACTGCGTTACGAATCTATTGGGTGGGGAATGCTGCACGTCATTTTGATCACAGTTCAATAGTTGATCCGTCCCGATGCATGCCTCCACCATGTACCTGTGCAGCAATCGCATTCAGATAAATTATCTTTGAGCCCTTCTGGAACTCCCTGAGCTTCCTGTTCTCGCCCATCGGTGGACGTCGTAGGATTAACTTGATGAGCCCGAGGAAGAGCTTCCGTGATGCCGAAGAGACTCGACCTGCGTGATCGTGCCTAAAATATACTGCACATGCGGCACACATACCGAAACACGAGTATGGATAAGTACACTATCTACTCACACATCGACCGTAGGGGTTAAAATTGCTTTGGGTCCACCAAGCCACACTCTCCCCGTAGTGACCGACGCTCGCAAGATTCACCGGCTTTCGACGCAGCAATTGATCCAACACTGTGCAAACGTTACACAACATCGCCACTGTACCCATCGAACTCCGATCCCCTTCGGACGACATGGCACGAAGCGCAATGCAGCCTCTCAAAATTCATCCCCACATTAGAACGTGGCCATGAAAGAATGTTCCTGGCCCCTCTTTTTGACGCAACAGCATCTCAATAAAATTGTCCCAACTCGCCAGGAACTTCCTGCACCTTTCATCTTGTTCCCATGCAAGACCGAGAAAAACGTGAGGTCATCTTCCACATGCTACCCACAGATCCCCTTCGACTTCGACCTCGCCTTAAGCGCCACAACCCACTTCTGTGCAGATATCAACAATGTTATTCTCATCTGAAACGAAGACTTCGCAGCACAAGCAAGTGAGTGTAAGAGGAAAGGAAAGGACACACTTTAAGGGTTTCAGTGGGAATGTAGAGGAAGAACACTGGCGTGGTGCAAGTGCTTTGAAGTGCAGTGAGCATGGTGAAGTGAAGGGAGTGGAGTGCATATTACTGATGTTACTGTGCATGCCTTCTTACAGCTCCTTTAGGGCTGGATTTCACTCGCTGGGATTTAGGAGTTGGTGGCTGGTTAGCATATCTACAATAAGCTTGGAAACTCCCTTTGACTGAAGAGTTCGGTGGCTGGTTTACTGGGTTGGGGGAGCTGGAAATATTTGCTCATTCATGCTTGGCTGTGTTGATAATCAGAAGCTTTGGACAAGCACACAACAGCACATATATATATATATATATATATATATGTATGTATTTATATATCTATATATAATTTTCTTTTTCTTTTTCTCTGTGAATAAAATGTTCTAATCTTCTGTGATAAAGTCTAGAATAGAATTTTTATTGAAATCTAACAATGAATGAGATAAACAAAAGAAAAACTTATTTATTGCTTAACTTGTGAGATTTTATAAGCATCAGCTTTAAAGATAACCTTAAATTTCAAACCTACAAGTTCATTATACAATTGAGGATATATATATATATATATATATATATATCATTATATTTAATTCAAAATAATAATTTACATGTGTACAATTCTCTTTAACACCATTTTAAAAGAAATATTATTCAAAAAATATATATTTAATACCAACTTTTCATGGTCAGGTAGAGGCATTACCACTTTGCATCTTAATTATTCTAAGTGTTATTACCTCTTCAATTCTATTAAGATATCATCACCATGTGTAAGTATTTTTTAAAATATTATTTTATTCTATATATATATATATATATATATATATGTATTTTCAAAGTTATGAAAACATGTTTCAACACATCTTGTGACACTCTTCTTATTACCATTAAAAAAATTCTTTTCACATTGTAACAATTTTGCAAATGAATCCCCAAACTCTGCTTGCATATAAATGTTGTCTAATGGATTTTCATTGGCATAGAATTCAAGTTTTGATTGAGGATTTTGCTATTCACCTGCTATCTCTATTCTTAAAGAAACAAGCAAATAATAGATAGGAGTAGAACCTTACATCTAATAAATCTTCTCACATTGCATTAGAAGGGCTTTTGCATAATAAGAGTGGTTTTCAACAACCTAATGATGTACAATTCAAACCCAAGTGATAAAGGTGGCTTTAGTTCACTTCATGCACTAATTTTAATAATAAATAAAAGAAGAGATCAATTAAGAGGCTACAGATTTTCTTGAACGAGTACAAAATAAAAATGCAAAAAGGATTTTCTGCAATTATTTTGACAGCAACGTGCTACTATCCCAGTATATATCTTAGATACATAAATTTGCTGATAAGCTTGTACAGTTGGATACCAGTGAGTTCCCACTAAATATCATAAATATAATTTTCTTCTCTGCTCCCAAATTAACCACGCTAATTTATGTATAAAAAACGTTAATTGACCCAAACAATACTAAAAAGAATAATGAATTCACTAGTGTTCGTGTCTTTAAATCAGTTGTCAACTTAAACAGTTGTGATAGCAGGATCCAATTAATACCGAAACTTGGACTTTAGTATAATAGCGACTCCGTCATTTTGTACGAACATCAATTTGTAGTTTCTGTTGTCGACAACGAATCTTCTAATTTCTTTTGGCAGAATGATAAATTTACATGTTGGGTAGTCTTCAACAGCAACAACCAGCCAAGTAAAGCAATGTACTTCTACAACACACAAAAATTCCATAATGGTATCTTTTTCAATTTAGTTCAGTCTTAGGAGTTGGTACTCTTCTTATTATTTATTAAGAGATGTGAACTCCATTGGCATATCCACACGCACTTCTGAATCGTTACACATAAACGTGTCTACAAAAATGTAAATATATAGCTACACAAATCGAGTTATTAATACCAGTAGCACATAAGTGTCCCACCTACTCGCAAGATTCGGCTGAGACTTCGGTTTTAGAAGCATGGTAGCTAGGCCTTAGAGACTGCTAAGGCACAGTGCATCTCGAGGACCAGGAGTTATCAGGCACTTGATGAACTGGAAGGGTTAGGATTTTGTACTAAATAAGATAAGAAATATTATGCACTTCTTGGTTCACATCATCACCAAAAATAAATGTGCTATCGCTAACTCACTCAACTAAGCACCCAACAACTAACATACCTTCAGGACCAAAATACAAAGTTCAGTACTAATCATGAAAATGGTGTACCCAAATCGCTCAAAATGAACGTGGAAAAAATTGCACATCAAAGAGGTTGATTATAAATCACAAATATCAGTAATAATCCAACCCGGATTCCATGAACGCACCCTTGTAATGATCCTAGCAACTGATACCTAACCCGGCACAACTATCTCGAGACAGGTAATCCCTGCACATAACAAGTTTACTGCACATAAGGTTGTAGTTGTGAATTGACATACGATCACAGCCTTCACCTGGCTTTAAAGACCATTCATGTCAATGGAGTAGCTAAGAAGTGGCTACAAAAGATAATGTAAAAAGGTGTTTTGACGAAGTTCTGAAATTCCAGTAAAAACGAGGATAAACTGCTGGTTTTCATCAAATCATCAGGATGGAATGCTTCAAGTAAAGTTGGCAACTCCCATGTGATCTGAGTCAGTTGAAACTTGTCTAAAAACCCAGAACAGTTTTTGAAGAGAATTATGTAACCAGGATCTGTGCTGCTGAAGCACAAAATGAAGACAATTTCCTGCCATAAATGGCACTCACATCTGCACGACAAAACAGCTAAAATTCTCAAATCCCGCAAGGTAACCAAAAGGTAACCCAAACCAAGCTAAGCCAATATATCTTCAACCAGCGCCTGAGGCTAGATCCAAAACTAACTAGGTTTCAAATCACATAGAATAGAATAGAATGAAGCAGCTATTCCTAAAATACACAGAGAGCAAAATATCCACCTCTAACTTTTCCCTCCATCCCCTCCATCCTCTTCATCAGAGTCACCCTTTTCTCGAAATCTTGGATTCTTTTCCTGCAAAAAACCCGTGTTAAAACCAAGTAGACGCCTAAAAATGTGGCATGATGTTATAGATGATAATGATTACAATCTAAATGTAATTGACCCTTCACTTCAACGCGGTCTTTACTGTCTTGATTGAACAAGATAAGACAACTGCAGAGTGAGATGTTGAGGCCCCTTGAGATTTCAACCAACTTACAACTTTCAGTTCCCTATCTTGTCTCTTCACACCATCTGCAGGTGGAGCATCTTCATCTCTGTATCTCTTTCTCCCCTCTACACCCAACAAAGGTAAACTTTAGACCTTTTCAGCGAGATAGTAATCAAAAGTAATCATTCTCAAATGGATGCAACATGTAGTAATAATATGAAGTTGGTAAGCAGTGAACTAAAATTGAAAAAGAATCAGGAAGGGAAGACATCAAATGCGAAATTTCCGCTGATGGATTGCAAAAAGCCCAGACATGAAAGAGTAAAAGAGATGGAATGAACTCACGAAATAGCAAAACATTGTGTTAGATGTAATCAAACAACTCACCTCTATGTCGATTGCCTCCATTGCCATGTCGGTCTTTTCCACCTGTAAATATTTCCAAATTTTAAAGCTGGTACTATTATCAAATAAATTTTACATGAAAACGTTAATCCTCATTCCAAAAAGAAAAAAAAGAAAAGAAAAGAAACAAGCTGCCTCGTTTCCCAGATTGTAGGGTGATAGTAATACTGATTGCAGAAATATGTAATGATCCTTACGCCTGAATTCATTTCCACCACCTCCTTCTCCCAGATTAGGATATTGAACCCCTCCCATGCCCACAGGTTGGTCATATTCCACAAGCTGCCGCCGCACTTCCAACTCCTTCTGTACCAACTTTCCATAGCCTCCTCTCCGTGCAATTGTTTTAAATTAAGGGAAAAACACAATCAATAATATACAGAGAACCGGGTTTCCTATGGTATTTCATGAGCTCGCAGGAACATAAATCTATAGTACAAAGCTTCGAAAGGAACAATGAACGCAAATAGCACAGCAGTTAAGGATATCAGGATCATAATCTGTACGGTACTCATCTCGCACCTGTCATCACAAGCATTCCCCATCGATGCGCACCCAAGTATCAGTTGTCAGATACATTACAGGAAAAGAACTCGTGAATATAGTATAAAAGCACTACAAAAGTAAGGATAACAACCTGGCCTCCACTCCTTCCACGACCCCATTGCCGACCCTCTTGAAAACCCCAATCAAAGTCCACACGTATAGGTCGGTCGTCCAAAATGGTTCCACTAATGTATTTTACAGCGTCCTCAGTATCTTCTCTTGTATAGAATCTAGCCAATCAACTTTAACATCAGAACTAAAAAATCCAACCCTATCCAATTGAAAAAATATATTCCTCGTAAAGGCCGTGATCAGCAACTCCAAATTCAAATGCATCTGTAAAGGAAAGAAGCACCGTGGAAAATATGAAATTCCTATCTTGGTAAAATCACTACAATCACACTATTGAAACCTCTAACTCCCACACAACACGCAGAAGCTTGTCAATGCAAAGCCCTCAGAGACTGTCTGAAAGCCTGAGCTTGCATGCGTTTAAGTTTTTCCAATATGCCACAATTTACAATTTTAAATTTGTATAGGATTGAAGAAGGAGAAAGAAGAAGAAGAAGAAGAAGAAGAAGAAGAAGAAGAAGAGCAAACCAATCTGTTGGACTCCCTATGGCACATACGATTAGAAGTCATGCAGTAATATGTGATAATCTCGGGCGCGAGATGCTTGGGTCAAGGTTTTTAGGAACATACAGAACAAAGCAGAAACCACACGGGGTTTTACTGTTCTTATCGAGACCCATAATGATCTTCTTCAGCTCCCCAGTGCGAGAAAAAACCTCGTAGATCTGCTCCTCTGTGGTATAGAAAGAGAGGTTTCCCACATACACTGTGGTTGAGGTTCGAAGCGCATGCTCAAATTCATCCTGTGATCCCAGAAATCTACGATCTCTGTACGCCGACAGTTGATCCGGATTCTGCATTCAGCCAGAAAAAATCGTTCAGCACTTCGACATGCCACGTGTTTGTTACCTCAAGCTTTGCCACATCCCTGGTCCTCACTATCTCAGAATTGCAAGAATTAACCAAGTATATACTCACTGTAAAATGAGGATAAACTAAAGCTAACATAACGAACATTTTAAGACTGCCACACTAATTGATTCCTAAACGCGATATTAAATTCATCCCTCCTCAAACATACGTCTTCTCAATCTCGTCTTGTTTTCGCTTGAAGCGGACGCAGACTTTCTCTCACACGAATCCCGCATATTTCATCTCAAATACAATGTGCATTCAAATTCAAATTTCGTTAGCTAAAAAATTAATCATAGCTGCGAACTAACTTACACCTGCACAAATCACAATTCATTTCTATAACCTATTACAGCCCTAAGTAATGCTCTACACTAAAACACACATGCGCAAGCAGAACATAACCCAAAAACAAGGTCTCTCGTAAACACGTTGATAACTACCGCAAACAATTCTTCTGGAGCGACTTCCGATTAAGTCTACCAATACAAAAGGAAAACAGCGAAGAGTCAGTAACTGACAACAGAACAGCCAGCCCAACACACATCAGTCCTCTTTCATAAAACCCTCAACACCGAAACGCTGCTTCGACGCAAACAATAAGCAAATTTCAGAAAAAAAGAAGCAATGGACATAGACCGTCGCGAAACTCAATGCCACCAGAGGCTAACGACGATTCTTCCGTCCTGTGTTGAAATACGAAACCGTTACGATTCAAAGTCGACCGAGACCGCCTAAATCCACAGCAAAAACACGACAAAACTGAAGGATAAGAATTATGAAGAGGGTAGAGCATAATCCCGTCAACTGACCTTGAAAAGGCGAGCCATCTGGTCGTGTTTCCAACGCTAGACAGTACGCAACCGCTTCTTCGCACGATAGCTTGCGCGTTCACATCCTGTAACAAATTGGCCGAGAGTCCGCAGCTCCTCCTCTGCCCTTGTCTCTCGCAAGGTCACTCTCCTCCTCTCTCGGCGACCTCGATGCCCATGGCGAGTACCACCACACCCTCCTTCTACACTTGGCTCCCGAATTAGGGCTTCCTCCCCTAGACCCGTTCACACCGCAACGGTCTTGCTTTTTGAAAACCTTCCCACTGGAATCTTTTGTGAATATTCTTACAGCCATTTAAATGTTTCATGTACGTGTAACATTTACTCTTGAAGAGCCCCAGTTCGAAAATCAAAATCAAAAACTGATGTGTAGCTCAGATTGATTGTTAGCTCATGTATTCACTTGAATATTATACCTACTTCTTATACAATGGTACTTAATGAAAGTTTTCTCAGTCCTATGTTTTGTATTTTCTGAAGTTGAGTGTTTATTCAACGTATTGTAACACGATTCTTTACAGTTCATCAGGTGAGCTTTATCATTTTTGAAAGATTTGGAAGTGTATGTATTTAAGCATAGGTATATAAATATATATATATATGTATATATATGACTTTGAGTATTCTCTTATCCTCTCTCCTTTGTAGTGCTGCATTGATGCTCCTAATCTGACTTTGCATCCTCCATTCTGTTATTCTATGAGCATGCACCAGACCTGTTGGTGTAATCGCCTCTGCGGCATTGAGCTTTATCACATGTTGAAGACATCCAAGTCTGCCCATCAGCATGACGGTATCGTCACAATATGTGTGGACCATGCTCAATGTTGCAACTGTTCGATGATTCTTCAAGACTTGTCACATCCTCTGTAGCCCACATTTTACAAAGTCTTAAAACCGGTCCTCATTCTGGAAGTGTCAAGGTGAAACATCTACGTCTAAGTGTGCCAAGGCTCTTTCTTTCCACTTCGTACCCAGGAAGAATTCGGTCGTCAAACCATTATTTAAAACGACGGCGCATACGAGAAAAAATTGTAACGCCGCAAGCTTCCCAATCCCCACAAACTCCCACCAACCCTAATTAAGAGGCTCGATGTCCTCGACCCAGCGGTTCAGAAACTGGTTGAAAGGCTGCACTGCACCGATACGCTGGGGTTCAATGTCAAAAGAGAGAATTTGTAGGGAACCGACTATTTTTGAGCTCAATCTTTCTATTGCTGTGCCTGCTTTCGTTGCAGGTCTACAATTTGTGACCCGCCACCACCCTTGATCGTCATGTCAAATTTCAAAGCTAAATGATTATCCTAATAAAAAGAAACAAGAAGGGACGCACTATTTCATGTTGGGAGATCTTTACCAGGAAGTAAGGCAAAAACCAGAATTCCTCTAATAAATACGAAAATGAGTTGGCTTATCAAAAGCTTTCCGGTTGTACTTTCGTAGAGAAGTCCCGCAGAGGCCGATCAATAGCAGTAACGACCAGGAAAAATATGATGACTCAGGCAAGATAATTGTACTTCTAGACATGAAACCATACTTATTTCACGAATAAGATCTTAAGAATTTTATGCGATGATCCGAGTCACATGACGCTAGTCCCATCCAAAATATAGCTAAGGTTGATCTTGTAAGCCTTGCAGAGGCAGGGCTGAAAAGAGTGATGCTGCCATTCTTAAATTCCAAACCAGATATTACTTCAAACACATCGATAATTCAAACACATCCAACCAAAATTTGGCAACAATCAATAATACCACCAATTTCAAAATACTACATCCCGAAATGGGTCAAGGCGGATCTTTCCACGAGATGAATAGCTCTTTCACCTAATCGCTTGCTGCTTCAGTAATCTGTAGAAACTTGTGCATGTTTTCTTTCCCGTCAATACAACAATTTACTCAGCGACAATGTACTCTCCTTATAAGAATAGGAAAAAACCATCACCTCGCTAAAATGAAGTACTACCATTAAAATCGTGACCCAACAATCTAGGACCTGCGCTACTTCCATCAGAACATTGCAGCTCTTATCACAACCAAACCAGCTACTACTTTCACCTGATTGTGTCTGATGAAGGTGCTTTGAGAAGCCTGCGACGAAAGAGTGTCAATTGCCTTGCTATAGTAATTACAGCATGTCTAAAACAAAACCTCGACAAACTCCAAATGAGTGAAAAATTGCCTGGCTGTAGATTTTCAATTGTCCAGGAAGAGCGGTGCCATGACCAGTGTGATGGTAGCGAGCATCTTGATTAGCACATGGAGAGAAGGTCCAGCAGTATCTTTAAAAGGATCTCCAACTCTGCAATCCAAAAATGAATGTGATAAGTTCCTGTCTCCAGAAGAAACATTCAGCTCGAAACTTGTATCACTTCGTTTCGTGAAAGTTAAATACTAAATGAACAAACTACTACATTTTAGTCATTCCAAAAACCTGTAATGCTTACTGGGTATGCAAATGACGCACCACTGAAACATTATTCAAACAATCAGCACCCTACAGTTGCTTTCGAAAGTTGACTTACGTATCACCAGTAACCGCCGCTTTATGGGCGTCGCTGCCCTTCCCACCAAAAGCCCCGCTTTCAATATATTTTTTTGCGTTGTCCCAAGCCCCTCCAGAAGTGTTGAGGAAGAGGGCCATCAAGATACCTGAGACCGTTGCAAACATGAGCATGCCAGCCACAGCCTTGGCTCCCAGCAGCGGCTGATCTGTAGCTTGCCCAACAAGCCTAAAAACAAGACCTAAACAATCACAATTCAAGGTCCCCAGTCAGAGTAGCACTTGGAATAACGTCAACCAGCCATTCATTAGTGAAGGCGCAAAATCACACAGACGAGATACTGGAAGTGTCATTTCTAGAAGGAATATACCAAAAAACAGCGAAGACAGCACTAAAACACCAGTCAGAAACGCTGTTCTTGAATACCACAGACGAGAAAGCAGTATCCAAGGATTGTTCAACCACTTGAGAACTAGCTCAACAACATCGTAATAAAGTTGCATTACCAATTACAATTGGAGAGATGACTGCCAGAGCCCCTGGTTTGATCATCTCACGGAGAGACGCAGCCGCAACGATGGATACACACCGAGCATAGTCTGGCTTTTCTTGGTACGTCTACAAGTCGCACCAGATTTGCTATCAGTACAAAAAGATTGATACCGTTAATAGTACTACTACCAATGTTAATATTCAAAAGACCATTTTAAAGAAAATATCCAACCTTAAGTTCCTAAGCATTACAACTGAAGTGCACTGGAAGAGGCATTTGTAAACTCGTGAATCCTTACCATGATACCAGGCCGCTCAGAAAACTGCCTGCGGACTTCACTGACAACTTCTTGAGCTGTTCGGCCCACAGCAGCACATGCCCAGGCACTGAACAGATAAATAAGCATAGACCCCAACAAGCCTCCTACAAATACTTCTGGGATTGCAATATCCACCTGAATTCACAAACAATGAGGATTTCGATTACCACAGGCCCCCACCGGTTGCAATTCCTACATACTTATGCATAAATCCAATCTTGAAAACCTTTGCTTCCCAGCTAATGCAGTGATTGAACCCTGGTTGCAGGAGCATAAATTTGTCATACCGTAGTGAAGGCAACGCCAGAAAATGAAGACACTTCGTCCATGTAAGCACTGAAGAGAAGGAAGGAAGCTAAGGCAGCTGAGCCGATGGCAAAACCTTTAGTAGTTGCTTTAGTAGTGTTACCAACTGCATCCAGCAAATCAGTGATCTCCCGAACACTCTCTGGCTGCAGACAGCAAATCAGCAAATCAGCAATGCAAAACTCCAAATAGAAATATTAAGCATTACTACCCTTATACCAAAAGTGCAATCGCTCCTATACACTCATACCTGTTGACTCATTTCAACAATGCCTCCAGCGTTGTCTGCAATGGGTCCAAACATGTCCATCGTCAACACATAGCCCGCAGTACTGAGCATGCCCATAGTCGCTACAGCTGTTCCAAAGAGCCCTCCAGTTGGAATTCCTTGATTGTCCTGAAGTCCAGATGTCTTTCCAAGCCAGTACGCGGTGACAATAGATAGGCTGATGACAAGAACCGGCATTGCTGTTGACTCAAGGCCAAGACTCACACCTGCTCCAGAGAAATGACGGCTTAATTAAACCTCCTTTTCACTTCATGCTTCACTATTTTTGGTTACTCTAAAAAGCGACTGATAAGGATGCAAGTATTATCACCTTAAGGAGCTGTAAGTCAACTACTCCGAGACAGTAAAAAGTTCTCATATTGAATAAAAATTTCACGGTTACTAAAGCAATGTCGAAGTGAACCAGATGCCAGAACTAACTACATAAAAGATCTATATTCAGTCATTACATGATATGGCTCATTTGTGCACCCATCAGTATTAGGAAAAAGAAAAACGCCCTGCAAATAAAATCTAACAACTCAAATATTTTATGAACAAAAATAAATAAATAAATAAATAAATACAAAAAAAAAACCTGCAATGATGTTGGTTCCATGTCCCGTTGTGCTCGACAGGGCCACCTGACGAACTGGGTCATACTTGTAGTCGGTGTAGTACTGAGAGATCCAAACAAAAACGTATGCAGTAACAATACCAACCAGCCCACAAAGAGCAAAATGAAACCAAGCCGAAGGGGCCTGTTCAGTGTAGAGAAGCCATCTTGTTGACTGCATGAGCCATAAGAATTAAGTATCAGAACAGGTCAATATGCCATTTTCAGATGATACAATGCATGTGTGTAAAATTTAAAATCCTTCAGCCCGGCGCTTAGCATTCTGTATGCTACGAAATTTAAAAAGCAAAATAAGGTGCATAAGTTATCAAGACAAAGAAATCATCGTGCACAAATTTAGAAACTGCAGAGTACTCACTCCTCCAAAAGCTAACACCGCTAAGAAGAGCGTGACAGAGTATCCTTTCTGTAAAATGATCATAGGATCTTCAATGAGTGACTTTGAGCTGGGGTCTCGAGTGCCTTTGATTGAAGCAATCCCGATAGCAGATACAACCAAATCAAATGAATGTACAACCAGGGGAAAGAGGATAAACCCAGATGGATCTGCAAAAAAGCGAGTCAGTGAAAATTAGTGGTGTATGGATTGTAAGATGACAAGATCCTGCGCAGCAGAACAAAGAACACTATATCGGACTTCAAACACACAAACACAATAAGGAAACTTACCGTCTAGTTTGCAGCGCTTGGCCATGGTGCCACCAAGAATCATGGCACTGATAATTTCAGCTGCAATACTTTCAAATAAATCCGCACCACGGGCAGCACAATCTCCCACGTTGTCTCCGACCTGCTCCAATGTACAGGCTTCAATAACTGGACTGCCAATAGACGTACTAAATTTTTAATAAATTCTATTTGACATTGCAAGTATAGAGAGGACTAGAACCAACGCTGAAGTAAAACAGACACGACTAGACACTTACAGATACAGAAAAGAACGCATTTACACATACCAGATCAGCAATTACGGCAGGATTCCTTGCATCATCTTCAGGGATCCCTTGTTCCACTTTACCCACCAGATCTGCACCTACGTCTGCAGCTTTTGTATATATCCCCCCTCCTAGTTGTGCAAAGAGCGCAACAAACGAAGCACCAAAACCATAGCCAACCAGCAGCAAAGGCACTGCAACATGGAAAACATCATTAATGAACACATACAAATCCTCTGAATGTGATCATGAGAAGTTGTTCTAGGTCAATCCACCAAGCTCAAAACAAGTTTTAGGCGCACAAAATAGGAAAGAAAAGTAAGGCCCCTCACACTCAGTCATCTTCATGTTATGAATAGTATCAACACTAAGGAAGACATAGAAGGATGCGAATAGCACTGCAACTCCCATTACTGTCATTCCAACCACAATGAGAGCGGAGAAGCCTCCAGCACGCACAGCCACCTGCCATTATCACCACAAACACACATTATGAGACTATGTGCATCTTTAACATAACATACAACTAACACGTTTTTCTGAGAGCAAAAATAAAGTTAATATTGCCATGTCTAAGAGTCAAACCTATCCTTTTTCTCACTGTACCCTGAAGCAACAGCAATAACTAACGATCTTATCCAGCAATGATCTCATAATGGCTGCGGTTGAAGACCATCTCCGTCTAACGCGAAGGTCATGGTGGATTGATTTTCATGTAACTAAGAACTTCAGAGCAATTTCTATAGTCTATGCTACCTGCCGAGTAAACAACTAAATTTCTGGTTATAAATAACGTCACTACAGTATAAAAAGGAAGTTGAACTGCAAAAACGATATAGAGCAAAAGAAACACGAACCAGGAGCGCCTCTCGTGCAGAGCGCCGAGCAGCGCTAGACACACGCACATTGGCTCGGACCGACACCCACATGCCAATGTAGCCAGCAATACCCGAACAAACAGCTCCCAATAGAAAGGATAGAGAAGTAATGAAAGCCAACGTTGACCTGTAAGAATCATAATATCAGCTACAATCAGTAGTCACTCTAAAAAGGAACTACGAAAGAACGTCACCCATGTATACTGCAAACATGAAAATCACTTTCTCCAGTTCAACTGGCTTATCTTTAACAATACAAGGCTAAAACTTGATTGTGAAGAGAAAGATTACTTCTCAAGTCCAGCAGCCTCTTGTTCTGGTGTAGACTTGCGGAACATGTAGATTCCAAGAATGACGAACCCCAAAACTCCTGCCATTCTAGATATGGATCCATATTGTGTGCGGAAGAATCCTTCTGCTCCATCTCGGATTGCATCGGATATCTGCGTAGAGAAGCATTGAAAAATATAATTGCCTACCAAATAGTTGTTCAAAATTACTGTAAGAACAGCACAACTTGTGCAAATTAAACACTAAGAATGAACCAGGTCCAGCTTCTCTACCACTCCTCTCCGCGAGATCAGACGAAATTTCTTGTGAACCGAAATTTAATAGCCCTCTTCGACCACCTCATTGGACTGAACTACAGATAGAAGTACAAAGACTGAAGAACGGAAACAGTCACATGCATTATTAAGAAAGGCATCAGAGTTCATCACGGTACCTCACTCATCTCAGGCGGCCCCTCGTCCTTTGCAAGAACCCAACTTGCGAGGTAGATTGCATACACCAAGCTGCCTATGCATATTGTGAAGACAAACAAGATGATCGGAGAGCTTTGTGACCCAATGTAGAACAAGAAAAACACAGTAAACAGAGCAAGGAGGTAGTAGACGCGTCTGTCCAGTCTGAGAGCCGTCTGTACGAGCTGCAAAAAACAAGGGGGACGAGTTGGTATGTGCTCTGAATTGAGAAATCCTAATACGACAACATAGAGACAGAATGTTAATAAATCAAGGTGTTCTTACAAGGTTTGCACATTGAATATGTTGAATGGTTCAGTGAACATTGTAGGAAGGGGATCTAAGATTCAACTCGAATGAATCAAGGGATTAGGAGAAGGTGTACCCAGAAAGGCTTGTTTTTCAAAGACGAAAATGTCCTCGGTTTCTCCTGATAGGAACCCATCAATGGGTTTTCCACATCCATCCTATGATCATCATCCATGCCCATCATTGTGTTGGACGACGAAAACCTGCGAGAAATTAGAGGATTGGGGGCCTCTCCCCCCTGCAAGAGATCCAGGTCGTTCTCTCGATGCTGAGTTGCTCTTTCCACGCTAAAAAAATTAAATGAAGTTTAAAAAAACCAAGCGCGGACTCCACAAAGTATCTCGCACTCGTTTCGTTCGTTTGTCAACGATTCAAGTTGGTGAAATTAACGGATCGAATTTCTGTCCCATACAATGCTGCAACAAAAATCCTCCGGAACAAGGTTATAATTCGCACTGCATCCCGCCACTCAATGGAAGAAGAATACAGCACGTCTGCGTTTCCAGGAAGAACAAAGAATGTCATCTACACAAGAACACCGTTTCAAAACCGCTTGAAAATCAAAATGCACATCATTCATTAGCAATAAAAAGCACGATTCCACGCGATCCTACTTCAACACAACATCACTCCGAACGAGGAAGCTTGACTCATACCCCTACACTACTCAAAATACACCACGCTACCCCACACCGAAGTTCTCCAAAGACTCAGAAATCTCCTCAAGACCGCAAATAAAACCTAAGGAGTATCCTTCCACCCATACAATTTAAACATCTACAAATGCAACTCGGAGATCTACAGACCTCGCAGCTGAGGCGCATCAAAACATCCAGAAAACCCTGCACACTCCACCGATTTCCTCGATTCCACTTTCACTCGACTCCCACAGTCTCCACCTTCCTTCTCCCGGTGCAAGTACCACAACACGGCAAGCTTGCGCGCTCGATAATGTCAAATGCTTTGTCGGGAACTCGCTCAACTAAACCCTGGAGGCACACAGACCGTGACGAGGGGAGGAAGAAGACCGGTGATTCACCGGGTCACCCGGTAGCACGCCAACCAGTCGGCGGGGTCGAGGAACACTGGGAATCCGGAACTCGAAACGCTTCCCACCCGCCGTTTCATCAGGCGGAGCCCCTGGAACTTTGTTGTTCCCAAGTCGTTCTCCTTGCGGTTCCCTTGCGGGCATCAGTACGCACACGTTCCCAAGGTGTCCCCGAGCAGTTATTGGTTCCCCCTCTACGATGCACGTCATTATTGATTCAATTTTGGTTTAAAATTACAAGTTAATGCCGTAATTGGGGAATTTCAATCTCACTGAGTGCGAATTCCGATTTTTATCTGGAGAATTTGTAGATACACGTCGGTAGATCCACTGCACCCGAAGCTCCGGGACAATTGCCTCGATCGGGTCAGCCAGATTGCCTCCGTCTCCTCCTCCAGGATTGTGCAGCTCTCTCGGCACTTGTTGCTTTTGAAATTTGCTTGCCGAGTTCGATCAGGAAGAGTTGCGGCAGATGGAAGGAGCCTGAGGGGTGTTGTTGTGTACACGCTTCCCTTGCGGAGAATACTGATTCACCGTAGGATCGGCGGAAGATTTTCCTCTCTCACTTGTAAAAGGTTTGCATGGATTGTGTGAAGCGTACTTTGAGTAGTGTTGACGTCTTTTAGTCGGCGTTTTGTTGAGCGCGATTGTCGCTATGTTTTGGTCTGAGTTGCAAGGGTGTTGGGTTAGAGGACGAAATGGCATGATTTCGACGTGGGAGTTTTCAGTGGTCCAGTTTTGTGTTTAGGAGGTTTGGCAGCGATCGAGGGTGTTTTCACTCCTGGCGATTCGCGGCACTGCCGGCAAGTGTTTGTTGCGGTGTGCAGTGCAGGTGCGCCGCCAATTTCGCGTTACTTCGATTCGTTTTGTGGAGTTGAGAATCTGAGTGTCTTCGTTTCTAATCCCAATGTTTTCGCCATTTTAGAGTTTGAAAAGCGTGCTTGTGAGTATTTGATTCCTTGGTATACGTGGCCCGATTAAACGAGAAGCTCGCATCGAGTGCTATTTCTGGTCGTGTGGAGAATCACAACCTGCACCGTAGTATACGATTAAAGGAGCGATCATTGATACCTACTTTGGTTCGGAATTTCGTTCTCTTGGTGGGATTGGCCAAGATTGTAGAGGTTGCTCGATTGACTGGATTGACACAGTGAGTAGGGTTGTGTTCCTCTGCCGATGTAGTTAAATCGTTAAACATCTCGTTTGGAAACTTTAGTTCTTGCAAGGTCTTAGGGAGCTTACCAAAGCTATGAATAAATACAGAAGAAGTTACTGATTTCGTATATTCATTATTTATTTACTTTGTGTGCATTCTGGCATGCATAGGCCGTGACATGACATCTGAGTGATACTTCAATTTCTAAGGCCTTCCGCATCCAAAGTTTTTTTTCTCAAAGATTTGGTGCAGGATGCAGCATGTCTCTATTCTTCAAACTGTTCTGAATCGGATCCAGAAAGTTGTGATCGCACGTATTCTAATCTGAGATTTATTGCAGAGCTCGAAAACATAACAAGCCACAGAAAATATAAAAACTAAAATGACTTCCAGTCAAAGGGCAACATCAACGATTCCCTCGCCCTCAGACCTTGATCCGTTAAGTTCAGACCCTAGCGAGGGTGAAGTCTTGGGAGTGCCATCTGCAGATAGCGTAACCGAAGATGGGTTTGTACACATTCACACGAGTCCTGTACAAAGGGACGCAGCTATGAAAGCCCTTTCTTCAATCCTCAACTCGAAGGAAGATGACACGATCGTTGGTACCTCACATCAACCTTCTCACAATCTATTTGTGTTTTCCTATTATCCTGTACCATGTATTCATAACATGAAAGTCAGCGAGGATTTGTGCGATGAACGAAGGTTCCAAATAACCTTGAATTCCTAATTCCATCGAGTCGTTCCACTTGCAGACGGGAACTGGGTTGCATTGTCCTCTCCTGCAATGAAAGTGCGTGCTCTTGGTGAGACGGAGTCTCCTTCAAACTCTCCCAGAGTCACGTCTGTGAGTGCAGCATTTAAAGACGATACGTGCCCTAGGACTTTGACCTACGAGCAAATGAAGTCCTCCTCCACAGATGCTTCGGCAGACATCGACCCCACGAAGAGAGAGGTCAGAAACCCAGCCCCGTTTTTTTAGTCCAATTTTCTGCAAGATGATGAGCTCCTCTGACCGATTCTTTTGGCCACCTGCTTGCAGACTTATCTGTCCGAGGAAGAGTTTCTGTCCGTGTTTGGCATGAGCAAAGTACAATTCTACACCTTACCCAAGTGGAAGCAAGACCAACGAAAGCTGCACCTCGACCTCTTCTGATGCACACGTTAGTGCATTTGGCGAGCAAGCATCATCGTTGCAATGGATCCATCAAGCCTACCTCATCTACACATACACAAACAAACACAGATTCTTTGGTTGCGGCGCTTTCACCGACGTGGTGATGGAAGCCTGACAGGTGTGCCAACATTCCTCCATTCTTTTTTGTACCTATTCTTCCCGTTTGAAGGTCACAACGCAGCAGGCCATCAATCTTCCCCAGGAAATGAACTAGATTCTCACATTCGATTCTGGTTGCGGAGTAATTGTGGGATAAATCTCCAACGATCATGTAAAGGTTTGTCATTGTTGATTGCTTCCCTGGTGTGAGATTCTCCCATCACTACTGCATTTGTGTTTCGGCTTCATGTTTTGTACAGTTTTCGTTCTGTGTGATTTCAATGCTCCATTGTTTTTGTTTACAAAAGTTTGGAATTTGGATACTAGAGTCTTGGCTACTGGGTGCACAGCGGACAATGGCAGCATGCTTAGATGAAAACGAGTGAAATCTTTAAAAATTAAATAAAGTAATCTAACTATTTTCTACAAAGCAAACCTTGCATGGGTTGTTGTTCACGGATTAAAATATTTGTTGTCGAGTGGTTGCCAAGTGTATGTGTGTGTGTGTGTCTCTATATATATGACAATTAATCAATAGTAAATGTGTAAATAGATCATTATGTTTGTGATTATAAACTACCTTTCGATGTACAATGGTCATATGATTCGAGATCGATTTTACCAGTTATTTGAATAGCATTTTTGGTATTAATGTACTTGTAAGGACTTTTTGATTCCCATGAAACCATTTTCATGTAGTGAGATAAAATCAAATAAAGACTAAAAGCATACAATTGCTCGAAAAGAAAATTATTGCAAGGAACGATCATTGCAGTCTTCAACATTTATTCTCTTTTCTATTAGATTTGTTTAGGGATGCTATGTTCCATGTATTTTGGCAACATCTATTTGTTCATTACAAAGTGAAAGATTTCAAATCCGTAACCACTTTCTATATGTATTTGAATATTAAAATTATGATATGATTCACTTCTTTTTCTTTTTATTATTGTTTTTTAAACATAGAAGAAATTAAATATTTTTTTACAAAAAAGAACTCGTCTACCTTATATTAGATTTGTAAAATAATATTGCTACTTGTATGATTGTAACATAAATTTTGTTGTATTAGAAAAAAAAAGATCAAATTCATATATTTCATGTATTAATATATGGATATGTATATCATAATCTTATGGTATTATAATCAATTTCTAAATTGACAATACAATTAATGTATTATGTTTTTGATTTTCAAATAAGAGCCAATAAGGGTGCAGCTGATTTTTTGGATTGCCATTACAATAAATTTATTTGGAATCATTTTTGTAGCCCTTGAGGTATGATCTATATGCATTCTAAATGCAACATGATGTTGTAAATGCCTACTCTCAAAGAGCAAGAAAATGACTCAAATAAAGTTGGTTGTCAAAGACAAGATATCATGACTTTTAATAGCACTACAACAAAAATTGCTACATCTAAACCATACAACTTGTGCAAATACTATATACATTAACTTTCAGATAAGTAAGAATTGTGTTGGTTATTCAAGCATTGCAATGCATAAATATTAGTCACAAAAGTATATAGAACAATAAACATGCACCCAAAACAACTCATGGAGAATCAGTGATGGCATTTGTTTGCTATATGAGAACTTCCTACTTGGCAAGTTCTTCTTTGGTAGCATCTTCAAATGTCTCTCCTATTAGCTATGGTACATTATCATCTTCTTCTACTTTTCTTCCGAGATTATTCTTCCTCTAGAACATTTGTTGAAGCTTCTTTAAGTTTTCTAAGTTGTCAAATTTGAATTGATTGAAGATACTCGCCAAAAAGTCTTCAAGCTTTTTGATTTGAGAAGGTCCTCTCATCACCTATGTATTGGCTACAATACAAGCTTAAATTGCACACACCAATTAAGATGATTATTCTAAATCTCAAAGTTGTGCATAATAAAAGCTATTTGGAAATCATTTAGGTAGATAAATTTCAAACAAATGCTAACCTTTAGGATTTACAAAATGGATAACATTTTCAGCCAAGAAAATATTGATTTCTTTAATTTCTAGAATGGTATTGACTCTAAGTCTCTCTATTGTACTCTACAATCTCTTATTATTAGTCATAGTTGTCTTATATATGGCTTTCTTCTTTCCGTTGAATCCAACTAATACATGAGACTAGATAGTACAAGATCACAAATTAAACTCAAATAATAGAAGAATCATAACATTGAAGATTGAAAGAATTAGGACCCAGTTGGATTGACACAATGATTATATTTCAAGAAAAACACAAAATTAAGGTTTGAGGCACCCGATTATTCAAAAAAAATTAAAGACAAAGAAATGGTAGAACTAACCTCTTAATACAACTCTTTCCATTAATATAGATCATACTAATCATCTTTATTAATTAATTCCCTAATCATTTGTTTTCAATCCATATCATGTTATTAACTTGAACAAAAAATGTGTCACTAGTACATAAAGATTGTAGGAAGTCTTAATTGCAAGAAAATACTATTACAATGAAAGAACAAAGAAGAACATAATAATATTAATAAGATGTAGATGAGCCAATGAGATACCTAAATATTTTTTAATTCAACAAAATAGTAATATTATTTTATTTGAGTTTGAATTTTGAAAGAAAAAAAATAATTCACAATTGCTTTGATGATTTTTAGATATATATAGTATAAATAATAAGCTATATTTAAAAAATCAAAATATTAGCTCAAATTCAATTTGAGGCTAAGATGTAGAGAAAGAAAATTTAGACTTAATTATGATATGAAATTAATAAAAATCCATGCAAAATAATTTTTATTAGCAAAGTTGTCTCAATCTACTATTACATAAAGTAATTCAAATAGGTTCATATCTAGATATTATAAGAATATAATGAATACAACCAATGAACTGTCATGGACATATACATTTATCTCAATAGTTACTTATATGATTAAGTAGAAGTAGGTAAATATAGAATAATTTCACAAAGTCTTTTAGAGAAGCTTTCTAGAAGCTTTATAGACACGGTTTTGACTTTAGATGTGTTTGTAGGTTAGAAACTTGGCCAAAAAGCTAACCATGTATTAGTAGCTTGTGGAACATGTTATCTCCGTGTAGTAGCTTGTGGAACAGGTTATCTCTGTATAATAGCTTGTGGAACAAGCCAACTACATGGCGCATACATAGATAACTTGCCTTGCAAGATAAAACATGTAACTAGCAAAGTCAACATATGTTGGAGGTCCTATAGGACATCGCCACGTAGCTCTTAGTTACATAGTATATATAGAAGCAAGAATGAAGCATTCTTCACTCTTGTCAATGCCTTTCTAGTCTTAGTCTTGTTTCAAGACTTTCTATTCTTCTTGTTTTTGACAATAGCCATTCTAGTTAATATTACATCATCTTTTGAATGACTTTGTAGTTTTCTTTAGTAATAAAAGAGTGTATTGAGGATTCTCTTTCTTCAAGATTCATGTCCTTGACATAAACATACTACAATGCATCAACTTGCTAATGAAATTAAATTACAACAATAATCAACACATGAAGAGAGAAAGGTCTAAGAAATAGTTTTAAAATAAGCTATTTTTTATTTCCATAGTATAAAAATTTCCACCAACAAAATGAGGAGAAGATAACATGCACTCACTTGCTTCCAGCAATAAGAAATTCTACATAGATGTAGTATTTCATGAAACAACAATTCTAAATACAAGTATTAAATTGTAGACATAAATTCAAAGGCTATTTTTTGGATATCTAAAACTACAAAAAATATAAAGTAAACAATTGAATATGGATAAAGTTACTTGATCTAGATCAAATAGAAACATTGTAGTGCTAATGTATTGCATCCAAGCTTAACAACTGAATGAAGACTCCAAACCTTGTTGATAATAGGTTATAGATAATAGAATTGGCAAAATCCAAGAGTTGTATACATCTTTAAATCCTAAAAGATTGACTACCTCAAAAATCAAACCTTGAAGCTTTCTTCACATCAACAACAAACTTATTAGAAATACTAAAAAATAGTTAAAGAGAAGAACAAACACAAATATATTAAAAGAATGTTAAATCCCAATCCCAATATTATAAGAAAGTTGATCTCTACATTCTATTGGACATTCTAGTATCAAAAGATGATAGATGATGCTAGGATAAAACTTAATCTTATTGCAACTACATGCAAGCATCTAAGCTTGTGTTCCTAATTTCCTATGGCATAATAATTAAGCTAGATTCTTGCTTCATTTTTGTGATTTAGGCCCTCTAAATTCCTTTTGTACCTTACCTTTTGTTTTTATTGGGATGAAGATAGACCAAAAAGATATGGACTTACCAAATTTGTTTTCCAAAGATAGAAAAAATAAATGAATGAAATTTTTGGCACCAATTTGTTGATACTTTATGGAAGTAAAGTTTTTGTTTTATTACTTCATTTGCCAATAAGAAAAACAATCCATTAACAAGATTCAATGGCTCTCTCTTTCCATTCAATCTAAAGATGAAGGAGATGAAAATCTCATTAATGGAATTTTGAAGCAAGGAAGTTAAGCAATAAATGGGAAAGACATTAACTACAACTACTATTATTACATCTAATATATAATTTTCTTATTCTATAAAAGAATAGTTGGTAGTTCAATTGTAAAATATGAAGTTTTTGATGAATGCATGACATAGAGATGATGACTTTTTAATAATTTTTATTATTAATTTTAAATTTTAAAATAGATTTGATTAAAATATATTTTAAACAATATATGTATAAAAGAATGTTAAATCAACCTTGACTTCTATTAAATTAATCCACTTATCAAAACCATCTTTATATCCCCTATCTTTGTTCCTTGTTTTGAGTACCCATTTCTTGTCTTAATTCTTCATCTATTCCTATTGTTCCTATTTCAACCTCCTATTATTGTTTTTAGTACTTGTCTCTTCTTCCTATTCTTATTTTATAAAAAATGATATACAACTTTTGAAGCAATTCATATTTCTTACTTAATAAACCAATTCTAAACCTCAAAGCGTTTATGGATTTTACACATGATGTCTATTTCAAAAGACTTGCATATTTTAAATTTATATCAAATATTTTTTAGATTCTACAAGTATAGAAAATACAATCAAGTAATCCAACATTGTTTAAATTAAAATAAGATGTATTATCTTTTAATTACAATTAGAAGATTGCAATGTAACTTTATTAAAATTTTAGTTACAAAATAATTTTATAAAAAGAAACATGTATATTTAAGGTTATTGTTGCCATTCATAATGAGATGAAATAGAAAACAATGGATGGAAAATGGAGGTATAATGATGGTTTTGATAGGTGGATCAATTTAGTAAATGTGGGGGTTGATTTAACATTCTCCTCTTTAAATAAATAAATAAATAACTATATACTTATTTGAGTGGTGTTTCAGAAGTTATTAAATAAATAACTAAATAAATTCATTATAAATATCTCAATATACAATTCATGACTATATCAAATTCCAACTTAAAGTTAAAGTGGTATTATCGACTTTGTAGCTCACCAACAACAAACAAACAAAAGAAAGAAAGAAAAAAAAAAAGACAAAAAAAAAAAGAAAAAAACCAATGTTGACTTAATCCTTACATTCATATGCAAATGCATCCATCTTCCTATATATTACAACTCACTCACGTAGCTCATCGTCACCCTTCAGCATAATCACCCGCCACACGCAAAGGTTTCCATAGACCACCTCGTGCACAATCGCCAGATTTAACGTGAAAAGAAAAAAATCACGGGATATTTCTGTAAATCTGTCAAACGTTTTTTTGTGAGGCATTTCAGATACTTTTTCAAGACTTTCCGGAACAACGAAACGAGAAACAAGCTGCCAAGTGGGATTTGACTAGCAACACGTGTAACCTAATGGACCGCAATTAGCCCGCGCATTCACCGCGCGGAAGTAGGGCCACGGCCCGGTCACCGTGCCTTCTTGGTGCCCCCAAACCCAGCCCAGCCCCCGCCCAGTGCTGTTGCTGCTGCTGCCTGCAACAGGCACCTGCCCTTCGATCTCCACGGAGACTCGCAGAGGTTCGTGGTGGTGATTCCAGGATCTCGATGTGCGCCGCTTCTGCGTCTTCCAGTCTTGTTTGCAGCCACGCGAGCGTCAGAGAATTCTGCTGAATTGCTTGCTTCTTGTTGACGCGAGGTTTGTTGTTGCTGTGTCTCTGCGTCGCTTGCATTTTAATTTCGAGTTTCTATGGAGATTACAGTTCGTGTCCTCTCCCTCGCCTGACCGTGGTCGTTGTTAATTGCTGTTGGTGTTGTAATTCGTCCGTTTTTTTTTTTTTTTTTTTTTTTTTTTTTTGATAAATTTCACGCGTGGCGATTCATGAACGCTCTGGCTCCGATGTCAAGTTTCTTCAAGCTTCGTTCGCTCATGTGGCTTAATTCTTATAGAATTGTTGGAAAATTCTTACGTCAGTTAGTTATGGTCTGCTCCTGCTGATGAAGCTTGTGGTCTTGTCTTTGAACACAGGATCCAGTTTTCGCTCGAGAGCGTTTCCGAATTCTTGATTTTTTTAGGTTTGGAGTTATTTTCACAATGTTTTACGCTGGAATTACTTCAGGAAGGATTCATTTGCCAGGTGTACAGTAATCTATAGGCGTCACACATTTGTCATTCTTTCGTGCTGAGCGCTGTGATGACGATTTTCGAGAACGGAGCAGCTTCCAGCAGATGTTGACAACCTGATCGTGACAATAGCGTAGGCTCGATGGGGTTGCGAGTAAATTCCGGTGAGGTGGACGAAGCCCAGTTGCGTTCAGCGATGGCGAACGAAGTTCCAGAGTTGGGGCCATCTTCGGAGCCCCTGCCTCGCAAAGCCATCGTGTGTTATGGTACAGGTCACATGCTCAATGACCTCACAGCAGCTTGCTGGTTCACGTATCTTTTGATCTTCCTCACGGACATTGGGCTTTCGCCTCGGTAGTGTTCTTACTAAATTTACCCTCTGTTCTGTAATACCTCTTCCTTCTGATGTGATCATTTCTAGCTTTCTTCACAGGGTACTTGTGGTGTCAGAGGCATAGCCTAAATCCTGATTTTGATACTTTGCAGGGAAGCTGCGACGGTGATGCTTTCAGGTCAGATAGCTGACGCCATTGCTACCGTTGTTGTGGGCCAAATGGTGAGTGGAATTTGACGTATTGATTCCAACGGTTTTACAACGTGTTTGGGACATCTTCGTATTTAAAAAATTGCAACTTATTCCCAATTCCAGCTTCGTGGATTTTACTTGCTAGAGTTGACTTTTTAATGTCCTTGTGTGTCTGTTCATAGATCGACACCTTTGGTCACTTCAAGATCTGGCACGCTGGAGGGTCACTCCTCGTGGCCGTTTCCTTTTCTTCCGTGTTCGGGGGATGCATGGCGTGTGCCTTGCTCGGTAACAACTACGCCGTTGCTCACACTATTGGTTACAGCGCATTTGCAGCTATCTTCAACGTCGGATGGGCTGCCACACAAGTTTCTCATATGTAGGTCTTCTTCCTCGCGACCGTCGCTCGTCCCTAACGTGTATTGCGGCTGGTTTTTGTTACGAGGTTTGTTCTTGTTTCCAAGAATTATGTGAAGTTGGTTGAAGCAAGTTTGCGTGGTTTTTGACAGGTCCTTGGTGAACTGTATTACTTCAAACCAAAGCAGCCAAGTTTCCCTCAACAGCTGCAGAAATGCATTCACAATGGCTGCAAATCTCGGGTTGTACGTGATCGCGTATTTGGTGTTCCGAATCCTGCCATCTAAGCAAGTCTGTGATGTTGAGACTCAGTTCAAATGGATAGCAGGGTCCGCCATCGCTGTGGGAATATGCTTTGTGGTAGTGTTTCAAATTGGAGTGAAAGAACCAAGTCTTTCGCATCACAAGGAGGGTAGCCAGGAATGCAATTCCAGAACAAGCTTCAAAGTCTGGTTCGGAAAGTTGCTCTACTATCAAGTCGCGGCTGTCTACATGCTCACGCGGCTCACCACTAACGTCTCGCAGGTAAGTTCAATTTCTTAATGTGCTAGCATCACATGTTCATACGACTTTTTTTCGCTTAGCTTTAATATGCAAGAGGCACATTTGGGAAATTATCTTGACATTTTGAAGTTGTGTTGGAACTGCAGGCGCTTTTGCCTTTCTACCTCATTGATGATCTTCTCATGGAAGAATCGTCCAAGGCTGTGGTTAGCCCTCGTCTCCTTGCTACACAATGGCTAGCAAGAATTACAAAGTACAAATTACAAAATAAATTTACTTACATTCAAACTTGAAGTCTGTGGTTGTGCTAATTCGGAAGCTCGTGTTGACGTCCTGCATGTTTGCAATGCAGGTGCCTGCCTTGATATACGCGTGCAGCTTCTTAGCTTCTATTGTCTTACAGGTATTTCGTCCCCGTTGTACTGTAGTCTACATCTGTACCTCTAGTAAAATTCGGCGATGTTGGGGTTTAGCCAATGTTGAGCTCATATTGTAATTTTTATTAGGAGTTGCGATGGACAAGCTTTCAGCTCAAGTCTGTGTTCACGATGGGAGCTGCCCTGTGGGTGTTGTCCGGCGCCACTTTCCTACTTCTTCCGCAGTCTCTACACGGGCCGGTCTATGTTCTCGCAGTTCTTATCGGCGTAGGAAATGCTTTCATGCTGGTTAGCATCTTTCCACGAAGAATTAATCATGTCTTGACTTTGTTTTCCCTTTTCTGCAATCAGCTTTGGTTGGTGCATTCGTCGATCATGTTAAAATGCGCGAGCCCCTATGTTTATGTGATAGGTGACTGCGACGAGTATGGAAGGGGTCTTGGTGAGCACCAATCTCAGCGGCTGTGGATTTGTCTATGGCTCTCTCAGCTTCTTGGACAAATTCGCATGTGGCATTGCTCTCTACTTGATTGAAGGCATGAATGGTAATCGATTTCAGATTATGTCAAACCCTGTGTCAACTTCTCTGGACTATGAATGCTGTGCATTTCCTTGAACTCAAGATTTTCCTGGTCTCGTTTATTGACGAAGGTTTTGGTCCTTTATTTCACAGTTCAAACGCGGTTTTGTCCAACCGCGAATGTTATGGGACAGAGCTTGTTGAGCTTTCCTCCGATCTGCCACTACTCTCTGATCCGTGTGGCGCTGGCGCTCGTTCCAAGCGGATGTGCCTTCCTCGCATGGATCATCACCACTACCATGAAGTTTGATGACTCCACCCTAGAAAATTCTAGAACCACATTAGATGATTCTCTCGCCTCTTTACAGACACCGCTATTGCACGCTACCCCAGCTGCAGAAGAATCTGACGTCACCCACATGAAGAGGTTGCAGGGAGGCAACTCGTCGACTCCATGTTCAATTAGAGAACGAAGAAAGAGTGCTGACAGCCACGGAATAACCGATTTGGGGTCACCTGGTGACGACCTGGTAGATTCCGGAATTGAAAGTAAAGAAGTAACATCACGGATGCAAGACGAAGAGGCACCTTCTGTATGGAAAATGCTGGGGCACGCTATGGTTGGACGTTGGGGCTCCATCCGCCCTGCCCAGCTGCCTTTCTTACAGTAATCCACCCACACCAATCTCCTCCATCTCATCGAATTAGGTTCGTTGCACACCACAATTTTACAAATGAAGTTGTGGATCGGAAACCCGCTTCACTTCCGCAAGCGTGGTGACATACATCCGGTGGTCCAGAATCCAATTCTATACATTCTTTTCTAGCATTGATTATTATAACTAGACTTGCCCGTATGTAGACCAATTCCTCAACTGCTGAACACGCTTAGATGGCTTCATCGTTTTGAAGCTTGTGAGTAGTCGCTCTTGTATAGGATGCGGATATTCCTTCAGGGTACCATCTCGTTACCACTGTTTATGTATTCATAAAATCCACATCTTGTAGATTCATGTGAATATGAAATACTTGCAAAGCTTTCCAATTCTGAGGCTCGTATGCATTGTGACAATGAATTTTTTTGGCTCCTTTCTCACTCCCTCTCTCAGTTTGTTATATGGTCTCATGGCAGTTGTAAAAGAACCTCCTACTTTGAGGTCTGAACGATGTGGCCCATAATTTCAGTACTGATAGCGCTGCCGACATGGCACAGATATCAAAAAGTCAAATGTGGTATAGTGCCGGCAGTAAATAGTTCAAGGAATATGTATATATTTTGAATGATGAGATGTGTGCTTATGGTAACAAGAGGCTTTTCAGAGGTACTATATTTTGTGACTTCACTAAGTTTTCAATTACATTCATAATTTAATAATTTAATGGAAAATATATTCATCTTTGATTAGTTACTGATTTGAAAACTTTTTTTAATTTTTTAATTTTAATTTTTAACTTTTTTGTTGTATAAGATGTAATTAATCATATGTGTTTATTAATCATGTGGTTTATCCCAATCTTGATATGTTTGAAGATGTCAAGGACAAACTTTGATCCTTCTATACACATATAAAGACTATCATGAAACAATAATTGAACATGTTAAAATATAATGAAATGATCAAGCATCTACAATAATATATGTAAGATATGTAAGAGGACTAGAGTAAATATAAATATGAAAATGATTGATTGAATTACAATAAGTACCGAATAAAAACTCGTTGTCAATATAAGTTAAACATGCTGTTATGACGGCAAGTTTTATGATGTTTGAATCCTACATTTTTTTAGCAACCTTAACTCACTGATATGAAGAATCCTTGCTTTGCTTTTGGTGTCGATTAAATATTATTTAAAGTTAATAAATGACACCACTAAACTACTATTGAACTGCCTTAGTCTCTTCTTTTGACATGAAATTATCTTGTGATGAAGATCCCCGAACTTCGTTCAACATGAAATCATCTTGCGAACACATAGACACCTCTTACTCTAACAAAGAAGACGTAAAACTATTGACATGTATCATATGAGGATCCCATATGGAAAACTTTCAACTGTACAAAGTGGAAGCTGAATTATCTTCCACAACACTAGTTATGAAGTTATCATGTTGCCTCCTTCTGCAACTACGCAGAGCCCTTTAAGAAGCCCAACAGGCCTTTGCAGAAAGAGCGTCTTATCGTGTAGCCGAAGCATTAGTTTTGGAGGATGGAGTGTGGTTTAAGGCACGTTCTCCACAACCCTGCGTGTGAATAAACAAAGTTTTTCATGGTAGAGAGGATCATACTGAAAGTGTACGCTGAGTTTCGTCATGTCAAGTGGTTGACATGGAGTGGGTGTATGGTGAACCTCTGAAAGAGAAGTGACTAGGAGAAGCTTCTCCTTGGTTGTGGCTGCTTCATAGCTCTGACCATAAGGAGCTACACAGTGGATATCGTCACACACTCGTACACTGAAAGGTTCGTCTCTCGGAAGAGTCTAGGCAGGAGCGGAAATCGTGTTCAGTTGGATCAACTCTATATGCTATCAACCTTGAGGGCCTCAACTAGAAACTAACTGAACTTTGAAGTACACTCCAGAACTTGATAAGATGTTTGTACATGAATATTTGTACAGAAGGTGCTTCGATGTTCTCGGCCACCATCCATGAAGCAGATTTTGGAATTAGTAACTAATGATGAATTGGTTGGAAATGAATTGATTTTTGGAGAAAGATGCAACAAATCACGGGACCCACCTGAGAAGAATGCCATTTTTTGGGTTCTACAGAGACAACTTTCTTCATAGTCGAAGCGTCGACATGGTCGCTACGGTTGTTAACACCGCTTCGAGGACCTTGACAATAGGCTTCAAAAAACTGCGTTGAAAGCTGGATTTCCATATAAATCTGGAAGTCATTCGAGGGACATAATTTGTTGTCAGTGTTTTACCAACAGGATGCGAATAGTGTACAACATTTACGAACGTAATGCAGATCTAATCCTTCACCTCACCGAAAAAGTCATCGCTGATCACCTTCTTAGAAATGGAAGAAATCTGCACCAACAACGAAAAAAATGAGTGAGATGATTGGAAGACATCGGTCCATTGCTTTACGTCCGCCAGAACAGAACTGATACCTACTCTCCATCGCTTTTGAACGATGGCTGTGGAAATAATCGTTATCCTTCCAACACTCTTGTCTCGCAGAAATAATCGTTATCCTTTCAATTTGGCCAAATTCCAATTTCATCATCCTAAATGATCTGAGGCCACAAAAAATCTTCCTCTGCATCTTAGTTATGCTGAATCAATGCAACTGAAAATAGGCTTATTGATTCGGTTCTGAAATTTGGCCTCTGCGATTATATCAAGCAGCAAGAGATACAAGAGCCGTGATTACTCTTGGTTACAGCTTTAAGACACAATATAGATGAATTATTTCGAATAGCTGAACATTCACACACGACATCAGAATACTATCGGGCGACCCATTTTCGCACTGATACTTGGTGTTCGTTGTTGAGGGCTAAGTGTAAAAACACCCTTAGCACCTAATTCCAATGAATGCAGTCAGTTGTCACGCTTCACTAGAGTTCTTGTTCATCGTTAATAGTTTCACGTCGCCACATGACTTACTGCTAACTTGCGAAATTCACGTATTAATATCGTCAAACAGCAAACAACTCTGACTTTTGAGATTTTAAACAGTTCACTGGTAAGGAACTCCTTTCAGATTTGGCATTATGGCTTGTGGATTACATTGAAATGTCCTGGTAGATTGGTTGCTCTTACCCCGCTTTTATTTCTACAATGGTACATGTCATTTGAAATGTCGAAGGGAAGGCACATCAGCGGATAGTATACTCGGCTGAACTTTCCACCATAGCTCACAGCTTGGCTCCAGCTATGTTCTAAAACTTGTGTGTGAAAGCAAAGCACAATTGCTCCATCTACTCGCAAGCATGGTATGGTGCAGCACAGGATGACATAATTCGCTTCCACAAAACTGGGTTTCACACTGCACTAGCAAGAATTGAGCCTTCATGTCTTTTACTCTAAACATCATGTTTACACATACACTCTTCACACCTCGGATGTCTGTAAATACTGCGAGAGGTCGGCCGAACAGCAATCCTTTTGGTCTCTTTAACAAGCTTACGAACCCTCTCTTCAAAAAAACTCCATTCAATGGTGGCGTTGCTGTCAAACAGGATTGCCAACCGTTTCTTATTGGGACGTATTGTTGGAGCATGGCCTGAACTATGGTAGATTCGGTAACCAGAAACAAGAGATGAGAGCTGGCTGCCCGAATCAGTCATAGCAAATGCATCTGCCAATGCACAGCCTAAGAAGTCCAGTGCTGCCAACTGCATGAAACCAAATAATAGTATTAGGCCACAACCAAAGTTCAATTACAAAGTTGTAAGTGTTAAAGGTTTGAAATCATAACTCAGAAATGCTCTAAAAAGACGTGTCCTGCTGCCAAATGTATCAGGTTCAGAGTACACGCCTGGGAAGAATGATTGCGGAATGGCAGAAGCTCCTCCGCCGTCAGTAGATCCTCCTTGGTCACTATATTGGGGTACAGAGACTTCAGAATCGTCATCTTTGTTTCCGCGCCATACATGTGTGATCCTGCTAAATAGATTCTGGTTCCTCTTTTGAACCCCAGCGCAGCTAACATCAAAAAGCCCTCTTCTGGCATCAGAGGGCAATGACCAAGCTCCCTCTGGAGTTCAGCCGAACCCAACCTGCAAAGACCACGAATTCATGAGTAAATCGTTCTCATGGACTGTATGATTCCTAGCAGGTCCAAAGTATAACTAAAGATTTTTTCTTCACCTCTGAAGAAATCCTCCAACAAGGACAACACCACAACTTTTGTTCTGCTGCTCATGGCAACCCGGATTAAAGAAGGTTCTTAAGAATAAGAGTACTTAGATTGTTCCCTGAAATCACATTTGTAGAAATATCAGGAACCATACAAACAATGCCTAGTTCACTCTACAGTTTTTGTTGCAAACAAGACACCATCACTAGCTAGAAATAATGAGTTGTGTTATTAATACAAAGCTTCCTTTCTGAATACTTACTAAAGATTGACTTCAAAGATACTTGCTTTTGTTTCTTGCATGCTTCTCAAAGTAGTTCAAATTTGAACGCTAAATAAAAAACAAAAGCCTTACTGTCCATCCTTCTCCATCTGTGCAAGGATTGGGAAATGCTCAGCCCGGTAAGCTCGAAGCTCTTCTCTCTCAGCTTCACCTCCCCCAAAATCACACATAGAATAAGCTGCCATATCCATCTCAAATCGCAAGTGCACAGCCAGGTACTTGGCAACAGGTTTGGCAAATCGTATTTGAACTTTTTCTCCTGCAGCAGACCCACTTTGTATTTTAGTGCTTCCACATTGACTTGCCATCCAAAAGGAACAGCACCCAGATACATTCCATTTTTCATTTTTTTTCCAGCAAATCAATAGTAACTTTCATCTTGAATATCCTAAAGTACTGGCCCTACCACAAATCACCATATTCACCTGCCAAGTACTTGTTTACATCAACGTGAAACTCATCATCACTAGGGCCCCAGCGGGAGTGCTTGTCTCGCATCCTTTCTGCAATCACTTTCCCCAATTTTTGTAGCTCCGGAACAAATCTCAGCGCATGGAAGTTGCAGCGACATCTCAGCCTCTATAACACAATAAAGTTAATCAAATAGAAACATTTGATTGATTCAGCGCGGAAGGTTGACATGACATGTAAACTGAATAATCGAATATCAAAAAGTGCTTCTTGAACACAAGGGAGGTACAAATAGTTTCTTTAACAATAAAAGTAAAACAATCAAATAATATAATAATTAAAAAACGAAAAAGAAAAAGTACCTGTATATCAAAAGGTACAGGATCAAAACCCAAACGATTGCCAAAACCTTCAAAAAGCACCACCCGTGTCCGCAATAACAGAGGAAGAACCTGATTGAGGTAGAAACTGGGCTTGGCTTCCTTCGGAATATCAAATTCTGTCATCTATAATATTTGTGTCAGTAATGACGCATAATTTGTATTCATGAGAATTCAGCCCTAAAAAAACGTAAGAACAACGCATTAACATCTAATGCCCGATCCAGAGACCGCGCAATCGTGAAACACTTGACCATTTGTGAGTGAAAAGCTCTGACCCGACCGAGCTGATTTTGTATATAAATTGTTACGTCATCCTTTATTAAGTTCATGACCAAAATAGATCATTAATATTCTTGTGTTGAGTAGTAAAATGGTATTGCTCATTTCAATAACACATAAAGAGAGACTATCGGCTATGTTTCACTATAGGTCATGTAAGATAGAGTAGAGACCTAAAACCAGGAAGATGACAACTCAGAATAACTTCACGAGTCTGAAATCAATGGAAAACTTACCACAGCTTCAATAGCTTCAAGATCTAAAGCTTTAAGCTCAGGTGGCAGCTCTTTCACTATTCGTACGTCATCTTTAAGGTAGTCAATAAAATAATTTTCCTCGTATATATCTCCAAACTGGCTGCACCAACTCCCACGTAGACTTGGCGTGAACAGTGAAAAGTGTTGTAATCCAATACTATGGGCACAGGGTGACAAAAACAGTCATCCCTACCCGGATTCAAGCAACATCCTAGTTCTAGCTCCTAGCTTAACTATAATCACTCCTTCTCTATCATGTTAAGTCATCTAGAAGTCAGGGTATATAAGTTAAGAAATAGCACCTTGAGTCCCTCCAAACACTGTTGAATAAAAACGTAGGCAAAACTAGAGTGGCGTTCAGTAAGCGTGCCACCGCCACACCATTACAAATCTGAAAGTGAATTTCACAGGCATTGTCATAAAAAGAACGCAATAACCAGAGAAACGGCATTGTCGACCAGGTACTAGAAACTATGTTGAATTCCATAATCTAATAATACAAACCAAAGAAATCGGTAAAACATCCGACCGGGAGGTTAGAAGTGTACCGCAACACGCTGCTGGTTAAGGCCTCCATTAGCACTGATCATGATGTAGCCTGTGGAATTTTCAGGTGATGGAGGAGCTACAAACAAAGCGGCAGTCACGAACTGAATAATAGTGCAGTGGATTTGTCAAGGTGAAGACTTTTGGACATTTAAACTCTATCCAAGGTACTCATTGGTCAGTAAAACTAAATTGAAGTGGCGACCACACATTGTTGCTTCCAGATGAAATAGCAGTCGCTGCTCAAGATGAGGACATACAGTGACGTACAACATCTATTGTTGATCTAAAAATTAGATTCCAGATATTCCTATCAGCAAATTGCACCCAACAAACAAAATTTAAGTGTTACATAGAGGAACTGACGAATGTGGTCTTCGAGTCTTTGATGTGCACAAGGAAGCCATGTAGTATTTTGGGTTGGCTCCACCCATAAATCGTCAGGCTCAGGACTGAGTTCATTCTGCAAACATATGCAGATATAATGAGTAACAAAGCAACGTGCCATCACGAAAATCCACATAATTCTTTCATATATCAGCGTAACCTGGAAATCTAAAGTCTAGCCGGTTTGTGCCCACAAAAAACAACAACCTCCCCGTTTGGGTTATATGGTATACTATACTAAATTGGCACATATACGAATATACATACATACATACATACATATCGCAACAAGATGTCAGACGAGCCCTGACTAGAGATCTCATCACCTCAGCAAGTCCATGTGCTGCCAAAGCAATCAGCCGTTCATATACGACAATAGAAGATCGATTGTTGGTACCTTCCCCATGTACCTACAATTAATCACAACAAAAAATTCTAATGCCCGCATCAAATTATAAGAAGTTGCGCTTTTGCTGCAATAGGTATCAACAAACTTTCGAAGATATAAGTGAGCAGTTGATAGGATGATCGATTCCGAATAAGAAAAGGTGATTGAACTCACATTGTTTGCTTGTGAAGTCCTCAAATTCTTGCGAAATTGCGGAGCAGGCTGTTCGAAAGTGGAGAGATACCACCAATCAAGTGCAAACCACACAAATAGTACAACGAAAAACAATGTGCCACCTTTCTTGAGTAGGCGTCCGCGTCCTTTCTTTGAAAATGTACCACTTCTAGTAAACTGATGAAAGACCAACTGGCCGGATGTTGTGGATCGAAATCTCGGACTACCCCTTGATTCTACCAGCGCAGATTCAGGAGTCAAAGCCCGCGGAGATCGAGGATGTGGAGAGTGAGACCAGGAGAGTAGATCACTTCTAGGACTGGAAGGTGAACCTTGTAGTCGAAGGGAACCACTCTGTCGGCTGCGCGTGGTTGGAGAAGAGACGCCCGATTGTGGTGAACTTGACCATTGTGCTTTCTCTGTGTTCATGGAGTTCGAGCGCTGTAAAAGAGTGGGTGAAGTACGCCCTGAGCTCGAATATCCACCTTGCAGGACAGAATCTGCCCTTCGCAATGCAGCAAGCCTGCTTTCACGAACGGGTGACACCTGCTTCTCTCCATCTGCGACTCTGTTCTCTAAACTCAGCTCCCCATTACCCTCGTCCATCACGATTATCCGCTGCACCCCTCAAGAGTATATCAGATGCTCATTCTCGTCTCTTACCAGACAATTCTGACAAAGCCCATTCTGCTACATTCTCTCATTTACTGTCTGATTTTACTATTGGTATCGTTTCTGGGTAGACTAATCAATCGTCAATATTGCCCTTGAATACAACTAAAAGAGGAGGGGGAGGGGGGGGGGGGGGAGAACCTTTTGGATTGCTAAGGGCCGATTGCAGTAAACTGATCCAAAATCTACAGCTGTTTCTTTGTTGCATATAATAGAAATCGCCAGCCCTTAGAAGTCCTACACTTCAGACTCCTGTAACAAGACATGCAATCCAAGCAATCAACAGGGCTCTGCTTGTATAATCACGACTTTGAAGTGTTCTGCAATACCAAGAGAACACAAGTATTAAAAGTCAATCAATACATTAGTTCCAAATAAGATGAATCTTCATGAGTTTAACAAAGCGGCGGTTCTCAAGCATTGCATTGATACTCAAGTGGCCTAGTAATCAAACAACCCTCGAAACGTAAAATATACTTAGGAAAATCCAATTCCCCAACATATGCTGTAGGAAATCTCAAACTAGAAAGGGTTGACAACAATCATTTGTAGCGCGGATTTCCGTCATTTTCAGCTCCTATATAGAGCTTCTTCTGGCAATCATCCACTACCGTAACCTGAAGAAGAAACCCTAATATGCTGTCAAAGATATCCCTTGCGAAAAGACACACATGTACCGCAATACTTAGTAACAACTTCTTCTAACTTGACTGTGATCTACCCCATTCTTTCAATTCACAGTCCAGGAGTAGGACATTCGTGTGTAATTGTCTCTACAAGTGCCCTTCCTGTGAAATTAGTCGCTGCTAAACCTCTTGATCAGTAGAGTTCCCCTCGGGACAGTTTGATACTAAACTCCAGCATGTGAGAAAGCTGCCTAGAATGTTCAGAAATAGACCAAACGCATTGCATTAAGATTACTGTAGCTACATTTGTAAACTTTTCCCAAATCCAATGATGAAATCTCCATGCTACGAATCGTAAAATTAGCCAAATTATCTAAAATGCTTGAATTCAGTTCATACACTTAATGAGCATTGAGAAGAAAAATGATGATACTCATTTCACTAGTTACTAGAAGTTCCTGTCAAATTCAACGAGAATGCCGACGACGCTCGAATCCCCACAGATCAGGAAGCCCAAATCTACTCCAGCGGCACCTATAACATAAACCCTCATATTAAGTGGTCCTATATTATAACCTTAGTTGCGTGCGAATGCACAAAATCTGCCTGCCATAGTAAGAAATCTTCTCAAATCGCTAACAGAAGGAATAATCAATTCGACTAAAAGGAGTCATGAACTCTACACTATGGAGATGCTGTGAGTACACGATGAACCAGCGAAATGAGAGAAGTAAAACTCGTCGTCTTCCAAAAGATATGAGACGTGGATTTAAGATCAAAATGATAGCTCTCTGTCCAAGATAAAATAAAACAGGCGAAAAGTTCTCGCGCCACAAGTGGACTTTCAATCACTTAATTTGATCGCAATTTCTACCTAGAGTACAGTCGTCGAATTCCCACCATCCAAAGCTTTTAAGCATCTAAAATTAATACGTGCCATAGCAAGCAGCCTCATCATTTTGTAAATGCTCCAAACAGGAACAGAAGAATCCAGCTGGAAACCTCTAAAGCAGTGACGAGCACTTCTAGACTGTGCTATAACAACGAAATTGGAAGGGGGGGATTTGAGAGAATTTAGAGAAGAAAAACATGAGACGTGACGATCCTGAATCTCCACTCTTCTCTGCGCGCACAGCAACAAAATCGACACAACCGATCTAAGCAAAAATAAATCTCACGAATGGCTTCCAAATATCCCTCGCCCGCGAACGGCAAACACACACGGCTCTCAGTCACGAAATCTCTCTCGAGCAAACAGCCTGAAGACGTTTAGAATCATCGCAATCACGAGCAGAGCTGAGAAACATTGCACAACCATCCTCTAATCCATTAAAAAAATGAAAAGAAAGAAAAATAATTCGCTCCCAACCTACTGCTCGCCCACCTTCGCAAACAACCTTCACACACAAGTCCGTAATCGTAACGGTTGACAAATTCCAGCATCTTCCAACACCTGGAGATCTACACCAAGAGGAACTAATCCAAAAAGGAATCATGAGGAGAGAGACCCGACGTATTCAACCCTGTTCCTTCTTCCATCCTTTACTCCATCTCTCCGTATCCAAGACTCTGAGAGTGAGTGAGTGAGTGACTGACGGACTCTGTCTGAGGCAAGGCAAGGCAAGGCAAGCCCAACCCATCCACAATGCTACAGAATAAATCCCAGCCGCATCTGTGACTCACCCTCCCTTCCGGTGAGAGAGGTCCAGGAATAGAACACCCAGAGAGATCCGAGACCAGAGGCGGTCCACACCCAATTGCCAAGTGGGATGTAGGTGCGGCTAAATTACGACAAAGCCCCTGCTGCTTGCTGCTGCTTTTGGGCTGCGAAAGGGCGATGGGGATGGATCATCGACCAGGGGGATCAAGCAACGGAGTGCGCAGCAGCATATTGGCAAGAGATTCCTCGCGTGGTGCTGGTGGTGGGCAAAGAATGGGTCCTCCCCCCCCCCCTTTTTAAATTCCTCTTCCCCCTTTTTTTGGTTCCCCCCCCGCATTCCGGGACGCTCCCCCTCTTTGCTCGCGGCGGGGGGACCCCATGGACCTTGGTGGCCCCCTCGCTCGTTTTCCAAACCCCCCCCCCCCCCCCCCCCCATCGTCCCTCGTCCTCCTCCTCCATCGCTGCTGCTTCCTCCTGCTTCTCCCCCGCGTGCTTCGCTCGCTTCCTTCTCTGCGACTGGTGGGCGCCGTCCTCATCGTCATCGTCTCCATAGCGGGGAGAGGCACTGAGGACACTTTACATCCATCCGTCCGCGGCGATCGGAGGAGGTGCACGGTCTTGGGATTGGGATCATGGCTGGCATCTCGTGGTTCCCGTTTAACCTCTTTTTAGATTTTTCTTCTTCTTTTTGTATTTTCTACTGTTGTTTCTTAAAAAATATAATGTTGATATATTATTGATATATATATAAACAGAATTGTTAAATTGACCCAAACAATCACTAAATTCACCCACCCATCATTATTAGTTTAGGATCCAACCATTTTTTTCATTGGTTTTCGACCAATGCGGATCTAGCCATGGAGATTTTTTTGATGATGGTTAGAATGAGTGAGTTGATGTAATAAGATTTTTGATTTTAAACATAATTTTTTTTAATTTATGTTTTTAAAGATTATTTCCTTTTAAATTAAAAACATAAATTAAAAAAATTCAATTTTTATAAATATATATATAAAAAAATTAAATGAACTTACATAAATCTAAAATTGACTAACTATGTAATTTGGTAGTTTGAGATTATTCTTTTGATATTCCATGTTTATTTTACAATTACATATTATTTTAAAAATCTTTTGGTAGAAATAAAGAAATTTATTTATTAAATTATTATTTTTATTTTCTATTTATTTTGTAACTTTTAAATTTTATAAAATATTTAAATTATCAAAACAAAAATTTAAAAATTTATAGTATATATATAAATATAAATATAATCAAAATTAATAAATTAGAATATTATAAATCTTTATAATATATCTATTTTAGATCATTTTCTAAAAACATCTGTTTAGTTTTAAAATATAATTTAAAATTGGCATTTTTTAAATTCGAATTTTAATATTCTTTTTATTAATTATTTAATAAATATTAAAATATTGTAAAATATTTGACGAGTTTATAATTTTTTTATTAAATACATTAATAATAAATTTCTAATGTTTATTACAATATATCAATCATTTATGTAGTTAAACTTTAAATTAAATTAATTAATTTTTATGCATAATATATATATATATATATATATATATATATATATATATATCTATATATATATATATATCTATAAATATATATAATTGAATCTTGAGTCTTTTTTTATTCAATTAGTATGTTTATTTTTAAATTTTTTATATATCAACACTTATTATTAAACTTTACAATTGCTATACTAAAATATTTAATTAATCTTTTTAAATGTGTATATATATTAGAAGTAAAATTATTGTGTTGATTTTAAATTGATTATCTTATCAATAGTTATGATTTTTTTCTTATTTCTATCTTCAGAAAGAATGACCATTCATTCAATTTCATAAATATATATCAATAAACTTAAATTGATGGTGCAGCAATTACAAAATTGATATTTAAAGATATTTCTATTTATATTTATTAAAAAATAGTATTTAAGTATCTTCTAATTTTATTTATTTATTATCAAACTTAATTCTATAGACACATGAATGCAATATCCAATATCATATTATATCTACGACAATTATTATTGTTCTTATAAATAATTTATGATACATAAACAAAAGAACTCAAATCTAAGCACAAAGCACTTTCATTATCAAATACTACAAAGAATAATTAAAACTATTAATATTAAAGTTATTTATTTTTTGTAGGATCAAGTAATATATTAAGGATATGAATCTCAAAGAAAGAAAATTCAATACATTCTTGTATTACTCAAAAAGATTAAAAAATCACTCAAAGATGGTAATATATTGAATTAGAATGGCTATTGCCAAAGACAAGAAGATTAAAAAGTCTTGAAATAAGATTAAAGACTAAAAAAGTGTTGGCAAGAGTAAAGGAGGTTTTATTCTTACTTCCATATATATTCTCTAACTAAGAGCAATAGAATGATGTTTTGTAGGACCTCCAATATATGATGACTTTACTAAACACATGTCTTATTTTCTAATGCCAATTTTCTATATGTGTACCACATAGTTAGCTTGTTCCACAAGCTATCAATACATTGTTATATTATGTGTTACTTCAATCTAATTGACAGATTGCTAAAGATCTTAGAAATACTTATTGACCTTCAAACTCCAATTTTTGAGACCTTAACCCACAAAAATCTTCACATACTTTGATCTAACTATTTGATTGATTTCAAAGTTTGTATACACATTTATAACAAGGACACCAATACACTATCCAAAATTCATTTATACATATATTACAACATTTAAGAAATCCTCAAATTTATAAACATATTTTTATTTCTAAAAATCTAAACCAACTAAGAATATTGTTAATTTTAAAAATCCCTCAAAAACTCAATATTAATTCAATTGATATAATAAAAATATCATTTTTTTTTCAAGTTCGCTCTCAAATTCCACTCTTTGATCTATTCCAAAATCCTTAAGTTGTCGTATGTACATGGTTTTATGCCTTGGGGTCTAATTTCAACCTAGGTTGACAATTAGTCATCATTGGGTATAAATTTTTGATAATTTGAGATAAGTTTTATTTTATTTTATTTTTAATTCTCTTTTAAATTTTTCTATATTGATTTTCTATCTCATTTATTTTGATTTGGCTCATTTATGCATCTATAAATTAAATAGAAGTTCCTTCTATAAAAAAACAACATTAAGACAAAATCTTTTATTACCTTTCTATCTTTTATCCTTATTTTTTTACTACATCATTTTGCTAGGTTCTTCTATAATAACATCTATATTTTTATTTTTCACTATATGGCCATATTATCACATGACAATGTATCATACATGGCTAACTTGTTGACTAAATTTCTAACTTGTTAATTAACTACAAACACTTGTAAAGTCAAAACAACGTCTATGAAGCTTTTAAATAGCTTTTTTTTAAAGATATTATGCAATTAATCTATTTTTATCTATTTTGACTTAATTATATAGGTAATTATTAGAATAAATATGTATTTCCATGATATTACCTTTCCTTGTAGGAATATATTTGACCAAGAACGATCATTATATGTTGAAAAAATCCAAGATGCAGCATATTCTATTTTCTATATATTCTACTCTTTATTATCTTTGAAGATAGTTGATAGGTTTTTTCAACCATCAATAGTGTTCCATACCAGGATAGAAAGACCACCTTATTATTTGATCATTATTATAGCTTTTATAACTTTTTTCAAATAAAATATTTAAAATATTATTAAAAGATATTCATATTTTTAATAAAATCACCAAATATCAAGAATCTCTTTTAATATCAAGGAGATGAATTTCAAAGAATTAAAATATAAATACATTCTTATGTCTCTTGAAAAGACCAAAAAAACATTCAAAGATGATATAATATTAAATTAAAATGGTTAAAATTAAAGACAAAAAGACTAGGAAGTCTAAAAACAAGTCTAAAGAATAAAAAGGTATTGACAAGAGTGAAGAAGGCTTCACTTTTGCCTCCATATATACTTTTAACTAGAAGCTATATGACAATGTCCTATAGGACCTCCAAAATATGTTGACTTTGCAAAATACGTATTTTAATTTACAAGGCAAGTTTTCTATAGGTATGCCATATAATTAACTCCTTTGACAAGTAACTAATACGTAATTAATTTTTTGATCAAGTTTCTAACCTATCAATCAATTACAAATACATATAAAATCAAAGCAATATCTATAAAGCTTCTAAGAAGCTTTTCTAAAAATTATCATAAAATAAATCTATTTTTATTTAATTCTACTTAATCATATAGATAAATATTAGAGTAAATACATGTATCTATGATATTATCCTTCTTTTTTAGAAATGACTTTCACAAGGAGCAGTCATCATATATTGAGAAAATCTAAAATGTAGCTAATTATATTTGCTAAATACTCTAATCTTTGTTTTTTTTGAAGATAGTTGATAGGTCTTCTTAGCCATGAATAGTATCTCATATCAAGGTAAAAAGATTTTCTTATTATTTGATTATTGTTGATGCATTCATAACTTCTTTCAAATAAAATATTTGAAATACTATCAAGAGTCATTCCTATTTCTAATAAAATTACTAAACATTGACAGTCTCTTCCAAAGTCATGATATCAAATATGTTGTATCTCGCCATTTATTTGAGGAAGGATATGTCATTCTTGAAGATCTTTCTTTCAATTACATTATCTTGAAGGTTGTGACAATTATAATGTCTTATCTAGTAAGTCATCAAGTGATAGTTCTTGAGTTAAATGTGTTGGTTGTTTGATTTCCACCTCGTTACTATCACAAATACATAAAAATTACAAATAAGAGTAGAGGGTAGAATGTTATATTTTTTGGATCTCATTTCTTTTATAGTAAAGATTTGTTATTCTTTATTTTAGTTTTCATGGATGTCATTGATGAAAAGCCTCAACCTTCTTTGTTATATTTGTAAGATTTTTTATTGACTTCTATGTATATTCACTAATATCATATTCACTCCAATGAATAAAATATTCTAATCTATTTTGGCACTGCCTTAAATCTAAGACTTCTTTTACATCAAACCCTTGATTATTATCTATTTTTATAGAAAGAAGTGGTATTTGTCTTTTTTTTAAGATATTTACTATCTTATATGGTTCAAGAAGAGACATATAAAACATGGAATAGATTTTTATAGACTTTGGTAAATATAATCAATAAGCAAAAAAATTAACTTGTTCACAAATAAGAAAAGATTTAAGCTTACAATAGTCCAATTAGTCACAAAACAAGTAGTCTTGATATTA